GCACGGGTGCCAGAGGCGGCACTCGGAGCCCTCTCTGTGGGCACACGAGCCGTTGCCCCAGCCTCGCCTCCCCCCGTGACCCCCTTCTCTCCAGCAGCCCCCCTGGAGGAGAGTCGCCCCCGAGCGTGGCCCATGCAGAGCAGCGCAGCCAAAGACATGGCAGCCAGGCAGCGTAGACACGACTCTGCCCTCACGCCCCATCATGCAGTTGACGCTGCAGGGCGCGTGCAGAGGGCGTGGCTGCCATAGCGCTGCTGGGCTGCCTGGGTGATCTGCGGCGGGCCCTGGAGGCGGGGAGTGGTCCTGTGGGCAGGCGGGGCGGAGGATGGGGCAGAGCGGGGGCGAAGCATGGAGGTGGAGTGGGGGCGGGGCCAGTGTTTGGGCACTCGGTCTCTAAAAGGTTCGCCATCACTGTACTATACTATATTTGGTGGGGAATATAAGGTCTAATTAAATAAACAGAAAAAAAAACAACTACCATTGCAAAAATTCTGGTGCAATGTCATACACGCGTGCACACACACACACACACAATCCATCCATCTGCATTCTGTCTGTCTCTCCGTCTTTGTCTGCCTGTCTTGTCTATTTCTACATACTGCTATCTATCTATCTGCCTCTCTGTCTTTCTGTCTCTCTCTGTGTCTGTCGCTGTGTCTGTCTATAATATCTATCTATCTATCTATCTATCTATCTATCTATCTATCTATCTATCTATCTATGTCTCTGTGTCTCTGTGTCTATCTATGTCTCTGTCTATATCCATCCCTCTATCTATCTATCTATCTGTCTGTCTGTCTGTCTGTCTATCTATCTATCTAATCCAGTGGTTCTCAACCTGTGGGTCGGGACCCCATTTGGGGTCAAACGACCATTTCACGGGGGTCGCCAAACAATGCTGTCCACCATTTTCCCCCCCTTAGCTGTGCTACTCCCTTTTATTCTATGGGCTTTTGAAAGCTAATAGAATAGGCTCTCTTGAATAGAGTCTAATTCTATTGGCTTTTAAAAGCCAATAGGAATTGTCCAGGCTGTCTTTGCCCTGCTGACCCCGCCAAAAGTCCCATTCTGCAAACGGTGCTGCACCAGTTGAGTAGTCCTCGACTTACGACTGGTTGAATAGTCCTCGACTTACGACCGGTTGGGGGTCGCGGCATTAAAAAGGTTGAGAACCACTGATCTAATCTGTCCTATATCCATCTGTCTCTTGTCTTTATCTGTATCTATCTATGTCTGTCTGTCTGTCATGAAATAGTAATGCAGTGGGAAGTCCAAGCTTCAGTTTGCTGTGGTACTACATTCTCACCATGTGAAGAGATGGGTAGCATGAACATATTGCAAATTAATTGTTGCGAAAGACCACCCGTAAATGGACGATTTGCTAAAGGGAACAACAACAAAGCAGCAATAAACCGGCCGTAGCTTTCCCATACAGTATACATTTAGTAAAACAGCTCTGGTGAAAAGTGCCGTGGTTTTGATCCCTGACAACTGCTCATATTGGTCTCGAGTTCCTCTGTTTTAACAAACATCTAAAGTATTTGGGATTACATGGTTATTATGGGTCACAAAAGGACCTGTATGGATTTTGGTGTTGAACAAGAGTCCCATTATACGCCTCATTCGGTGTAGCCAGACAGTGGCCCAGCCAGGTGTTTTCACCGTCGCACACAAAGATTTGCCTGTGCTCAGGTCTTTAGTAACTAAGAGCCGTGGAAAGCCCTCCGTAAGGATGGAGAATGGTAACATCATTTCCCAGGAAAGCTTTCTGAGAACCGTAGTATGCTTTCAAGGAACTTAAGTGAGGAGTTTCCCTTCCGTTCATCGCTTCAAAGAGCTGAAAGAACAGCCTCAAAACAAACAATGGAAAAACGGGATGAAATGCAAGGTCGCGGCGTTAGAAAAAACGACACTCTCTTGCCGTAACGTCGATTTAAGAGGCAGCCAAAGGTTTTAAGGCTGGTATCCTCTTGGCACTCCTGTGGGGAGCACGCATTGTGTCAAGACTTATTGAGACTGAAGGCAGGTGGCCCTTAATTTACAACCGTTCATTTAGTGACTGTTGCAGTGGCGCTTTAAAATGTCTGCAAGGCAACAGTCAAGTTCAGACAGCACCAGGGACCCCTCATTTCAACTCTGCGCTGCCAGTGTTCTCATTTGCTGTTTAATACCTCTGTGAAACAACTGGAGGAGAACTTCGTAATGAGATACCACAGGCAGATTAATAACACTCATACTCTTTGCCATGTTATTTCGAAGAAAACAATTGCTTCTCTTGGTCATTCTGTAGATTCAATAATAGATGGATGACAGTGAATAATAATAATAATAATAATAATAATAATAATAATAATAATAATAATAATAATAATATAGAAGTAGACACTGCGACCGTCATAAATGAGTCAGTTGCCAAGCGTCTGACTTTTGGTCATGTGGCCATGGATGCTGCAACGGTCGTTAAGCGTGAAAAAGACCTAAGTCGCTTCTTTCAGTGATGTTGTAACTTTGAACGGTCACTAAACAAGTTGTTGTAAATTGAGGATTATCTATACCAGTGATGGCGAACCTTTTAGAGACCGAGTGCCCAAACTGCAACCCAAAACCCACTTATGCATCGTCAAGTGCCAGGTGGGTGTGGCCCGTTGGCTGGGCGTCCCTTCTTAAAAACTTCCAAGGTTGCAGCATTCACAACTTCTGGAGGCAAGTAGTTCCACTGGTTAATTGTTCCAACTATCAGGAAATTCCTCCTTATTTCCAGGTTGCTTCCCTCCTTGGTTAGTTTCCATCCACCTGTTACTTCTTGTCCTGCCTTCAGGGGCTTTGGAGAATAGCTTGACTCCCTCTTCTTTGGGGCAGCCCCTGAGACACGGCTATCATGTCAAAAGATGTATTCCAAAAGGCAACTTGGGTGGTTCCCCCCCCTCCTTAAAAACCTTTGGCTGCTCATCCGAGATGCTTCTTCTGTTGTTTGATGTGAAAAAAAACTTTTTTGGGGGGGGGACCAAGACAGTCCAGTTGCCTTCTGGAAAAGTCCTTTTGGGACACCTGCGACCTGGATGACTGACACCCTCCGTAGACCTTAATTAGGATTCCATCCCCAAAGAGAATAAGAGGATTTTTGGGAAAAAGGTTACTTAAAAGTGGGAAAGATGGAGGGGGGGACACACAAACGCCCCTTCCTCAGCCGGGCATCCAACTTCCCAGGGAGTGAGAAAGAGGGAGCCCCCCCCTTCTCCAAGGGAGGGTGAACCCCGAGTCTCAGTTGCGGGTTCCCCCCCCCCCAGGCTCCCCCAGCCCAGCCCAGCCCTCGTTCAGACGAGCCTGCGAGGCAGGAAAGGCAGCGAGGGCCGAGCCGAGCCGAGCCGGGAGAAGGGAGGGAGGGAGAGAGGCGGTGGCGGGCGGGCAAGCAAGGCAGGCAATCCTCTGCCCGGTAGCCGGACGGTTCTGTTTGCCTGTAAATAAAGGCGAAGCGTCCCAGGCGGAGATGGCCGTATAAAAGCGGCTGCCACGCGGGTCCAGACGCCTGGCCCAAAACTGGGACTCCGGGCGCAGGAGGAGGAGGAGCAGGTAAAGAGGCGACGGGGACCTGCTGAGTGGTCTCTGGGGGGCCCCGGCTGGGGAAGGGTCGTCCCGGCAGGTTGGGCTGCTGTAGAGGAGGAGGAAGAGGAAGAGGAAGAGGAGCGGGGCGCGCTTCAGACCTCGGACAGCGCTCGAGGGGGGCCGGGACCCCCCCCCAATTCCGACCCGGCGTCCTGGGCTTGGCTAGAGGGAGGGAGGGGAAGGAAGGGAAGGGATGCGGCTAAGCAAACGAGGGGGGGTCACGGAAGGTTGCCCCCCTCCCTCTGCAACTCGCGAGGTGCGCCTTGCCTGGTGGAATGAGGAGGGGGGCATCCCGGGGTGCCTCTCCTCCACCTGTGTGCCCAGGGGTGGGGATGCTCTCAGGGCGTCCCAGTTGACACTAGCCCTCCCCCCCCGAGCCCCAGCCCCCCATTCATCCCTTTCCCCCAGTCCTTTTGGCCTCTCAGCCCCCCCTCTCCTCCCTGGGGATCCCGCAGGGACCCTTGCCCCAGCCAGTTCTGCTTCTCATCCCCCTCTCATCCCCAGCCCCCTTCACCCCTCAGGGACCCCCAGGGCCCCTCACCCGCCCAGCCCTTTTTCCCTCTCAGCACCCCTCAGCCTCCCTCTTCCACAATCCTCTGTCCCTTGCTTCTCGTCCTCCCTCAGTTCCCTTCACCCCCAGCCCCTTTTCTAGATCCTTCACCCTCAACCCTCCTTGCCTCTCAAAGCCCGTTGACCCCCCCCAGCCCCTCTTGCCTCTCAGCACTCCTCTCCCCTCAAGTTCCTAGCCCCTCAGCCCCCTCGCCCTCCATCCCACACTATCTCTTAAGGGTTGAGGGTTTTCCTCAACTCAAAGAAAGGAGAGAGGGAGGGAGGGAGGAAGGAAGGAAGGAAGGAAGGAAGGAAGGAAGGAAGGAAGGAAGGAAGGAAGGAAGGAAGGAAGGAAGGAAGGAAAAAAGGAAAGAAAGAAAGAAGAGAGAAAGAAAGAAAGAAAAAAGAGAAAGAAAGAAAGAAAGAAGAGAGAAAGAAAGAAAAGAGAAAGAAAGAAAAGAGAAAGAAAGACAGAAAGAAAGAAAGAAAGAAAGAAAGAAAGAAAGAAAGAAAGAAAGAAAAAGAGAAAGAAAGAAAAGAAAGAAAAAAGAAAGGAAAGAAAGAGAGAGAAAGAAAGAAAGAGAAAAAGAAAGAAAAGGAAAGAAGGAAGGAAGAGAAAGAAAGGAAAGAAAGAGAGAAAAAAGAAAAGGAAGGAAGGAAAGGAAGGAGAGAAAGAAAGAAAGAAAGAAAGAAAGAAAGAAAGAAAGAAAGAAAGAAAGAAAGAAAGAAAGAAAGAAAAGCGCCTGGTTTGGTACTCCGGCTTCTGCCGTTGCTCTGTCAGGATCTTTGCCTGGCTGGTCCCCTTCCTCGGCTTGCAAAGAGCTTGAGGCTGGGGGGGGGGGAATGGGGAGAGCTGGCCCAGGTGGGTGGTGGGCAGGAGCTGGCAGGAGCCGGCCCAGGGCTGCAGAAGTCCAGGCGTGGGCTCGGTTTGTCCTTTGATGCCTCTGCGCCCGAGTCTGCTTTGGGAAGGCTAGTTGTCTCCTTCGCTGTCTTTCCCCCAGGTGGGGGACAGCCATGGCAGCCAGCGGTGGGGCCGACGGAGACCGCCCGGATCTCAGTCGCTACGTGGTGAGCCGACCCATCTACAACGAGCCCAACTTCCAGGAGGAGAACGAGAAGAAGCTGGTGGTGCCCAAAACGCTCCGCGAGCGAGTCCAGAAATCCTGCAGGTAACCTGGCCGACCTGCGTAGGTTTGGGGAACGGTTTTGAGCCGAGAGTGGTGTCCGCTCAAGGGGGCCTCTCACTCAGTCCTTTTGGCAAGTGACCGTTGTTTTTTGTTTTTGTTTTTGTCTTGGGCAGCTGTTCGAGAAGAAAAGCCTTGCAAGTCACCAAGACCTTCTTCCCTATTCTGGAGTGGCTGCCCAAGTACAGGATTAAGGAATGGCTCCTGAGCGACATAATTTCGGGCGTCAGTACGGGACTCGTGGCTACCTTACAAGGTAAGAGAGGGACACACCTTTAACCTCAGGAGATGCAGAGGTCGAACTATACTGGGGCTATTCAAGGTCTCTTCCTCTCCCTCTTTCTCTCTCTCCCCCTCTCCTTCTCCCTCCCTCCCTCTCTCCCTCTCTCTTTCCCTCTCCCGCTCCCGCTTCCTCTCCCTCTCTCCCTCTTTCTCCCCCTCCCTTCCCCTTCTCTCATTCTCTCCCTCTCCTTGTCTCTCTCCCTCCCTCTCCCTCTTTCTCCCCCTCTCCCTCCCCTCACCCTCTTTCTCCCCCTCCCTCCCCCTTCTCTCATTCTCTCCCTCTCCTTGTCTCTCTCCCTCCCTCTCCCTCTTTCTCCCCCTCTCCCTCCCCTCACCCTCTCCCTCTTTCTCCCCCTCCCTCCCCCTTCTCTCATTCTCTCTCTCTCTCTCCCTCCCCCCTCTCCCTCTCTCTCCCCCTCCCTCTCTCCCTCCCTCTCTCTCTCTTTCTCCCCCTCTCTCCCTGCCTCCTTCCGCTCCCTTTCTCTCTTTCTCCCCCTCCCTCCCCATTCTCCCATTCTCTCCCTCCCCCTCTCCCTCTGTCTCCATCTCCCTCTCTCCCTCCCTCTCCCTCTCTTTGTCTTTCTCCCCCTCTCTCCCTGCCTTCTCCTTCTCCCTCCCTCTCCCTCTGTTTCTCCCCCTGTCCCTCCCCCCTTATTCTCTTTTTCATTCTCTCTCTCTCTCCCTCCCTCCCTCCCTTTCTCCCTCTCCATTTGGATCAAGGAGCGATCCAACCTCAAACGAAGCTGAATTTTTCTGAGGGTGGGTACAATTATTCAGTGGAACGATTTGCCTATTTGCTTCAGGCTCAGAAAAAAAAAACCACGCTTGCCTCCAGACGTTGTGGGTGCTCCACCGCTGGAGGTTTTCAAGAAGACATTGGACAGCCATTTATCTGATATGGTATGGGGTCTCCTGTTGAAGCAGGGGTTGGACTGGAAGACAACCCCCCCCCCAGGTCCCTTCTGACTCTGTTATTCTGTATTGTGTTCTGCATTTAACGTGGATTGTTTGTTCACCCCTGTGGCTCAAAACCAGTGGAATCATTTGGCAATTAAACTGACCCGGATGTTTCCCTAGCTTTAAATGTTGCTCAGGTTTACTTAGACCAGTGGTTCTCAACCTGTGGGTCGGGACCCCATTTGGGGTCGAACGACCATTTCACGGGGGTCGCCAAACAACGCAGTCCGCCATTTTTCCCCCCTTTTCCTTAGCTGTGCTACTCCCTTTTATTCTATTGGCTTTTGAAAGCCAATAGAATAGACTCTCGTGAACAGAGTCTAATTTTATTGGCTTTCCAAAGCCAATAGGAATTGTCCAGGCTGTCTCTGCCCTGCTGAGCCCGTCAAAAGTCCCATTCTGCAAACGGTGCTGCACCAGTTGAGTAGTCCTCGACTTATGACCGGTTGGGGGTCGCAGCATTAAAAAGGTTGAGAACCACTGACTTAGATGCCTTTTCATGTTCGCAAACCCTAAAGTTTGTAGGGTTTCAGCTCGTGTCTTATTTATTTAAATTTGATTCCACTGAAATACTGCACAAAATCAACCCCGGTTTACTTTTTAGTATTACCTGCTCAGTATTTTTACATGTAGCACATGGTCTAGACCAGGGGTAGGCAACCTTGGCCCTTTTATGACTCGTGGACTTCAACTCCCAGAATTCCTGAGCCAGCCACGCTGAGGAAAAATGAAGAGGTTTCCATGCTGAGCCATGCTGGCTTAGGAATTCTGGGAGTTGAAGTCCACGAGTCATGAAGGGGCCATAGTTCCCCCATGCTGGCTCAGGAATTCTGGGAGTTCATCCACGAGTCATAAAAGAGCCAAGGTTGCCTACCCCTGGTATAGACCCATACCACTATATTGTATATAAATAACAAATAAATATTAAATACTGTGTGAACTTCAACTCCCAGAATTCCTGAGCCAGCCATGCTGAGGAGAAATGGAGATGTTTCCATGCTGAGCCATGCTGTCTCAGGAATTCTGGGAGTTGAAGTCCACTAGTCATAAAAGATCCAAGGTTGCCTACCCCTCGTATAGACCCATACACCTACATATAAATAACAAATAAATATTAAATACTGTGTGGACTTCAACTCCCAGAATTCCTGAGCCAGCCATGTTGAGGAGAAATGGAGAGGTTTTCATGCTGAGCCATGCTGTCTCAGGAATTCTGGGAGTTGAAGTCCACGAGTCATAAAAGAGCCAAGGTTGCCTACCCCTGGTATAGACCCATACCCCTACATATAAATAACAAATAAATATTAAATACTGTGTGGACTTCAACTCCCAGAATTCCTGAGCCAGCCATGCTGAGGAGAAATGGAGAGGTTTCCATACTAAGACATGCTGGCTCAGGAATTCTGGGAGTTGAAGTCCACGAGTCATAAAAGAGCCAAGGTTGTCTATCCCTGGCCTAGATGTAGAAGGGGTGAACCTCAGATGGGAAATACATATTCAGGTAATTCTCATTTGGGACTACTAGATTATCAAAAAGCACTGAGGCTGTTAATTAAATTGTCCCATGACTGCGTCCAGTTTTACAGCCTTGCTTTCCCTGTCCGTTAAGCAAATTGTGCTTCCACCATTTCATTTTGATGGTTAAAAGCACGGAAATGACCTTCTCGTGTGATGCTGCAATGGTCAAAAACTCATGCCAGTTGCCAAGCCAACCAAATCATGATCACATGACTGCAGGGACCCTACAACGGTCATAAATAACCAGGTTACTTTTTTCAGTGTTGTCGTAACTTTGAGCAATTGCTCAACGAACAGTCGTAAGACAAGGGCTCCCTGTTACAGATTGTATTTGTCTATTAAAGAACAGCGTGTTTACATTAATGTATTTATAATTGACTTTAAGATGCCGCAGAATACGATTTTACATTTTTTTTAAAAAAAAAAATTCTGTACCGTCAGGTTTGGCGTACGCCTTATTGGCTGCAGTTCCCATTGGATACGGCCTCTATTCCGCATTTTTCCCCATCCTGACGTACTTCTTCCTAGGAACATCAAGACACATCTCCGTCGGTAACTGGATATATTTTTTTTAATTTTAATAAGAGATATGTTTCTGTGAGAAAGAGGCATTCTGGGAGTTGAAGTCCACAAGTCTTAAATTCGCCAAGGTTGGAGACCCCTGCCTTTGCCATAACATTGGCTTCCAAAGATACATTTTAAAAACAGATATACTTCCTTTCGACAGGACCTTTCCCTGTGGTTAGTTTGATGGTGGGCTCCGTAGTATTAAGCATGGTACCTGACATGGATAACAGTAACATGACGGGGGTGAACGGAACAACCGGGGTAGTCATGGCCTCCACAGACGCCCAGCGGGTCCTCATTTCCAGCACTGTGACCTTCCTGGTTGGCATAATCCAGGTAATCAAACCAGACCAAGCTGTCTCAAAACTTTATTGTATATATAACTGGAGAAAATGCTCTCTTTTTTTCCCCCTTTTAATTTTTGGACAATTGATCTATAGCAGACATGTCAAACACAAGGCTTGGAGGCCAGATGCAGCCCGTGAAGTGGTTTCATGCGGCCCGTGAAGCCATCCTGGAAACAGTGAGGGAACGGCCCCCGCTGCCTTGACCCTGGCCCAGGCCGGCCGGGAGCCAATGTACAATTTTGGGGTGGCCATCTATGCTGAAATGCATTCAGTCTTAGCTCCACAAGGCTGTCTAGAAGCAGCAAGGAACCAGCCCCTGCCGCGTCGGCCCTGGCCCCGGAGTGCATGCTGGGGAGGTGTCCCCCTTTGTGAGGAATGAAGAAATGGACCATGCCTTGGCACTTGCCCCGGTCCCACCCCCTTCTGCCAGAGACCCCCAGATCTGTCCCACTCCTGCCCAGGCCCCCACAGGCCCGCTTGACGCGAACGATGTAGAGCTGGCCATGCCCACCCAGTAGGACACACCCACTCCATCCACGCCCACCCAGTAGGCCGCCCCTCCCCGCACCCCCCCCCCCGAGGGCAACTGCAATGCTGATGCGGCCCTCAATGAAATTGAATTTGACACCCCTGATCTATAGTTTTGCATAATGGATCCATTGCACTGTTTTTATTTTAACCACAAGAAGACTGAGGATTATTTCCTGGGAAAGATGGGGTTAGAGTCTATTAAATTAATACCGGGATAAGTAAAGATGGGCGGAAATTTATTGATTTATTTTCGTATCAGACAAGAAAGGAAGGCCAGGAAAGTGTAGGATCTTGTCTGGGGGATATTGAGTTATAGGTCTTCCACCTCCTTACTTTTTAAATAGTTTGCTGTGCTCCTTATTATTTTTTAACCGTTTAGGAAATTATGTGGTTTTTTTTCTCCCTTCCCCTCAGCTAGTGTTTGGAGTACTTCAAATCGGTTTTATTGTAAGGTACCTTGCTGATCCGTTGGTTGGTGGATTTACAACAGCTGCTGCTTTTCAAGTATTTGTTTCACAGCTGAAAATTGTGCTGAACGTTTCAACCAAAAACTACAACGGAGTCCTTTCCATAATCTACGTAAGTGTTTCTTACTAAACTGAACTTCCTTGGCTAACTGTTGCTCCCTTGTGTTCCTCAGCTTTTGGTCCACAGTGTGTTGATCTACAATAGTATGGATAAATGTCTGTGGAGAGTGTCCGACATCCAGATCATAGTGGCCTCGAAGGTGCGCTTTTTCAAAAGGCAACTGGACTGTTTCAAGGAGGAGGAGGAGGAGGAGGAGGAGGAGAAGAAGAAGAGAAAGAGGAGGAGGAGGAAAAGAAGAAGAAGAAGAGGAGGAGGAGGAGGAGGAGGAGAAGAAGAATAACAAGAAAAAGAAGAAGAGAAGAGGAGGAGGAGGAGGAGGAGGAGGAGGAGGAGGAGAAGAAGAAGAAGAAGAAGAAGAAGAAGAAGAAGAAGAAGAAGAAGAAGAAGAAGAAGAAGAAGAAGAAGAAGAAGAAGAAGAAGAAGAAGAAGAAGAAGAAGAAGAAGAAGAAGAAGAAGAAGAAGAAGAAGAAGAAGAAGAAGAAGAAGAAAGAAGAAGAAGAAGAAGAAGAAGAAGAAGAAGAAGAAGAAGAAGAAGAAGAAGAAGAAGAAGAAGAAGAAGAAGAAGAAGAAGAAGAAGAAGAAGAAGAAGAAGAAGTTGTTTCTCTTCTCATCCAAGGATGAAGCTTCTTGGATGAGAAGAGAAATGTCTTTCTCTTTCTCCTCAAGGAAAAACAGTCCAGTTGCCTTTTGGAAAAGCAATTTTGAGACAACAGAATGGATAGTTGTTGAGTGGCAGATGTCTACACTTAACAATTTTGTGGGGTACGAGGTTACATTAGTGGGGTACGAGGTTACATTAGATCAGGGTCTTCAAACTTGGCTGGCTGAGGAATTCTGGGAGTTGAAGTCCACAAGTCATAAAAGGGCCAAGTTTGAAGACCCCTGCATTAGATGGAGGAAGACCACACAACCTGTCACACCTATGGGATGGACTAGGGTTTCCAATAAAAATTAGCCAGCATTCTCTGCCCACTGAGTATCCAGGGTCTTAATCAGAATAAAACAGGAAGGGACCTTGGAGGTCTTCTAGTCCAGCCCCCTGCTCAAGTAGGAGTCCTTACATCATTCCAGGAAAAGTGGCTACCCCATCTCTTCTTAAAAACCTCCAATGATGGAGCACCCACAACATCTGGAGGCAAGCTGTTCCACTGGTTAATTGTCCTCACTGTTAGGAAGTTCCTCCTTAATTCAGATTGCTTCTCTTCTTGATTTGTCTTCATTAAAATGAACTTCAGTTCTCCTTCCCATTAAAGTTTTCCCTAAATATCTTATTGACAGAAGCCATTATTTCTTTTTGCCATCATGGAATTCAGAATAGGTTTGCTCTCATCACTTTTAAAAAGAAGGGGAGAAAATGATTATTTAAGAGCAATTCTACATTGCTTTTCATTTTTAGATAAAATAGCCCAAATGGCTGTAACATTATTCAAGAATAAAAGAAAAGAAAATATTTTTTAAACAAAAAAAAATAAATAAGAACATGTTAAAAAAAGAAAAGAAGATGAAACAAATGAGATAAATTAATCTGAGAAAGAGAACTGGGGTAGATGGTTATTTGTCTGAAATGGTACAGGGTTTCCTGCCTGAGCAAAGGGTTGGACTAGATGACCTCCAAGGTCCCTTCCAACTTTATTATTATTATTATTATTATTATTATTATTATTATTATTATTATTATTATTATTCATCGCACAGTCAGCCAGATGTTCAGACTGGATTTGGCATTTTTGTCTACCTATCCAGTCCTTCCCAAGGACCTGGGATAGGCAGATGTGGATGTTTGATGGTATTACAGGTATCGTCGCAGGATGGAAGCAGTTCCTAGTAAGGCTGCCTTTTGCAATTGACGAATGGCAAATTTGTCAATGCCAATGGTGTTCAAGTGGTGCTCCAGTTGTTTTGGGATTGCACCCAAGGCACCTATTACTATTGATACTATCCTTGTTTGCTTTACTACTACTATACTACTACTACTACTACTACTACTACTATTATTATTATTATTATTATTATTATTATTATTATTATTATATTCTGACTCTGTTAAAGGAGGGATACCAGTTTGACAGCTGTGCAGCTTCTCCTGAAAAACTCTAATGAAGTACAGCCAATTCTTTTTGGAGGCAACCTAGTCAATTATTAATCCATGCGTATTACTAAGATGTTCTTGTAGTACTATTTCTGCAATTCAGGTTTGCTAATTTTGGGCCCTAACTACTTGAACAACCGGAACACATAATTCTCGTCTTATTTTTGTCTTCTGTCTTTAGACGCTGATAGAAATATTTGAAAATATTAGAACCACCAATATAGCTGACCTAGTGGCGGGGCTGCTGACCATTGTGGTGTGCATGGCTGTCAAAGAGATTAACGACCGCTTCAGGCACAAGATCCCAATTCCCATTCCGATAGAAGTGATTGTGGTAAGCCGACAACTTTGAGAAACTCAAGAAAGTTATAGGAGAACCAGATCGGCTTTCTTTCTTTATACCTTTTTGAATTTGGACTTCTATTGCGATTGCGGTTCTACGGCTCCGTACAGGTAGCCCTCGACTTACGACCAAAGTTGAGACACAACATTTAGGTTGCTAAGCGAGACGGCTTTTAAGTGAGCTTTGCCCCATTTTACGACCTTTCCTGTCACAGATGCTAAGTGAATCATAGCGGTTGTTAAATTAGCAACAGGTTGTTAAGGGAATGTGGCTTCCCCCATTGACTTTGCTTGTCAGAAGGTCGCAAAAGGGGATCACGTGACCCCCCCGGGACACTGTGACCGTCGTAAGTGTGAACCAGCTGCCAAGTGTCCAAATTCTGATCACATGACCACGGGGATGCTACGAAGGTCGTAACTGTGAAAAATGCTCACAAATCTCTTTTTTCAGTGCCACTTTAACTTTGATGGTCACTAAATGAACTGTTGTAAATCGAGGACTACCTGTATTATGGTGATTTTCTTATGGTTTTATCTTAATTTAATATATTATCTCCTATATTGTATTGTCCACATATCATATATATATATATATATATGATATGGTTAATAATGCTAAAAATATGATATATATGTGTATATGTATGTGTGTGTATATATATATATATGTGTGTATATGTTTTCTGAGGTTTTCGCGGGTGTTTGTATGTAGGTCTTTGGTTATTCGGGTTTTCTCCCGCGTAAAATTGGAAGTGTGTTGGAGACGTTTCGACGAAGTCCCATTCATCATCTTCAGGCTGGTGTTTTCGGCTTCGTGCTTCTAAGAGCAATGTTCCTAGAAGCATGAAGCCGAAAACACCAGCCTGAAGATAACGAATGGGACTTCGTCAAAACATCGCCAAGACACTTCCAATTTTACGCGGGAGAAAACCCGAATAACCAAAGACCTACATGTGTGTGTGTGTGTGTGTGTGTGTGTGTGTGTATGTATGTATGTATGTATTTATGTGTGTATATATATATATATATACACATACATACATATTTTATATATACATATACATACACATACACACACGTGCGCACACATACATACATACATACATACATATATATATATATACACATATATATATACATATCAAAAATGATATTAAAAATAAAAGAATGATTCCTGGGTATATTCATATCGAACAACAAACAGGCGTGAACACCAGGAAAAGTTAAAAACTATAAAAGTTTTAATTGAATAAAATACCAAGCTTTCGTTGGCTACTGCCAACATCGTCAGGGTTCGTTCAGGAAAACTTATTTATAGATGAAAAGCCGTTTGCGCCCGACTCTTGGATCTCGTCATGGGTCCTGACCGGCCAATCAACGCTTCGGTCCTAATCCCCGTGTTATTAACTAATTTGCCCTTGCTTCCCTTACTTGCGCATATATTGCTACTCACTTCCCTCTCCTCTTCCATACATATACATAAATAGTAAATAAATAAAATGTCTTCTGCTATTTTTATTTTTGAATCCAGACTATCGTTGCCACGGGCATTTCCTACGGAGTGGACCTTGAGAAGAAATATAATGCAGGGATTGTGAAAACTATTCCTAGAGGGTGAGTACAGATTATTGGTCTTCTAACATTCAAACCAAAGGCTAAATGCAACTAAATTTTGAGTTTAAGGAGAAAAGTTAAGAGGGGAATCAAGCGATCCCCAGTTATAGATACTCCTCAACTTACAACAGTTCATTTAGCGACCTTTCAAAGGTAAATGGCACTGAAAAATGGGATATAAGACTTCGCACTTACAGCCATTTTGGGACCCCCAAGATCACATGATCAAAATTTAAAGCTCAACAACCAACATGTAATTCCAAGGGGCATCCAGAGAGAGCCATACGTTCCCAGCCGGCTTCTAACAAGCAAAGTCAATGAACAGGAGCGGGATTCACTTAACAGCCACGTGATTTCCTTAACAACCATGGCCAAAAAGATTATAACGTTGGGCAAGACTCATTTAATGACCGCCTTGCTTAGCAAAATGAATTTAATTTAATTTATTGATTGATTTGCATCCCGCCTTTATGATTTTTCACAAAAAACTCAAGGTGGCAAATGTATTCAACTCCTCCTCCTCCTCCTCCTCCTCCTCTCCTTTCTCCTCCTATTTTCCTCACAACAACAACCCTGTGAGGTAGGTTGTGTGTATGTGTATTTGCCACCTTGAGGTAGTTGTAAAAATAATAATGGCAGGATATAAATAAGAAAATAAATAAATGTATGTGTCTGTAAAAAAATCTATTATTATTATTATTATTATTATTATTAATAATAATAATAAAATAAAATAATAAAATAAAATAATAAAATAAAATAAAACAATAAAATAAAACAATAAAATAAAATAAAATAAAATAAAATAAAATAAAATAAAATAGTAAAATAAAATAAAATAAAATAGTAAAATAAAATAAAATAAAAGTACAGGCAGTGCTCGACTTTCAACCACAATTGTTCCCAAAATTTATATTGCTTAGTGAGACAGTTCTTAAGTGAGTTTTGCACCATTTTACAACTTGTGTTGCCACCATTAAATGAGTTTTGCCCCATTTTATGACCTTTTTTGCTACAATTGTTAAATGAATTAACAAATTAGTCACACGGTTGTTAAGTGAATCTGGCTTCCCCCATTGGCTTTCTTTGTCAGAAGGTCACAAAAGGGGATCACGTGACCCTGGGGACGCTGCAACTGTCACAAGTACATGTCAGTTGCCAAGCCTCTGAATTTTGATCACATGATCATGAGGATGGTGCAACGGTTGTAAATGTGGAAAAATGGTCATGAGTCACATTGTAACTTCGAACTGTCACTAAGCAAACTTTGTAAGTCAAGGGTGATCTATCTATACCAGGGGTAGGCAACCTTGGCTCTTTTATGACTCGTGGACTCCAACTCCCAGAATTCCTGGGCCAGCCATGCTGAGGAGAAAGGGAGAGGTTTCAAAGCTGAGCCATGCTGGCTCAGGAATTCTGGGAGTTGAAGTCCACGAGTCATAAAGCGGCCTAGGCCTAGGTTAGAGGTAGGCAACCTTGGCTCTTTTATGGCTCGTGGACTTCAACTCCCAGAATTCCTGAGCCAGCCATGCTGAGGGGAAAGGTAGAGGTGTCCAAGCTGAGCCATGCTGGCTCAGGAATTCTGGGAGTTGAAATCCACGAATCATAAAGCGGCCTAGACCTAGGTTAGAGGTAGGCAACCTTGGCTCTTTTATGACTCATGGACTTCAACTCCCAGAATTCCTCAGCCAGCTTGGAAACCTCTCCCTTTCCCCTCAGCATGGCTGGCTCAGGAATTCTGGGAGTTGAAGTCCACGAGTCATAAAAGAGCCAAGGTTGCCTACCCATGATCTATAGAATTATCCATATGCATTTCTCTCCTGCTCCTTTTCCTCTTCAGGTTTTTGCCTCCTCAACGTCCAGCGGTGGAGAAGTTTGGAGAGATGCTGGCCTCGTCATTTTCCATTGCGATTGTCGCTTACGCTATCGCCGTCTCAGTAGGGAAAGTCTATGCCACCAAGTATGATTATTCCATTGATGGAAATCAGGTATGGAGAACGGGGCCGGATTCCCGACGAACAGGGAAATGCCATCTAACCTGAGTTTTCTTTAAGGCACTAAATAAAAGAACCTGCATATCTAGCCTTTTTTGGGGGGGAGAGGGGGGGGCTAGAATATTAAAATTTACAGCTGAAGTTGGCAGCTTGTAGAGAATACCATCACCACATTAATAGAGGTGGGCAGCCATGCACATGGGTAACCGAAAGTAAAAATAAAGTAAAAAGTGGAGTGAAGCAGCCATGCAAATGAATAAAATAAAATAAAGTGAAATACAATAAAGTGAAGTGAAGTGAAATGAAGCAGCCATGCAAATGAATAAAATAAAATAAAAATAAAGTGAAGCAGCTATGCAAATGAATAAAATAAAGCAAAAATGAACTGAAGCAGCCATGCAAATGAATAAATTAAAGCAAAAATGAAGTGAAGTGAAGCAGCCATGGAAATGAATAAAATAAAGTGAAGTGAAATGAAGCAGCCATACAAATGAATAAAATAAAGCAAAAATGAAGTGAAGTGAAGCAGCCATGCAAATGAATAAAATAAAATAAAAATAAAGTAAAAATAAAGTGAAGTGAAATAAAGCAGCCATGCAAATGAATAAAATAAAGTAAAAATAAAGTGAAGTGAAGCAGCCATGAAAATGAATAAAATAAAGCAAAAATGAAGTGAAGTAAAGCAGCCATGCAAATGAATAAAATAAAATAAAAATAAAGTGAAGTGAAGTGAAGTGAAATGAAGCAGCCATACAAATGTATAAAATAAAATAAAAATAAAGTGAAGTGAAGTGAAGCAGCCATGCAAATGAATAAAATAAAGTAAAAATAAAGTGAAGTGAAATAAAGCAACCATGCAAATAAATAAAATAAAGTGAAGTGAAATGAAGTGAAATGAAGCAGCCGTGCAAATGAATAAAATAAAGTGAAGTGAAATGAAGCAGCCATGCAATTGAACCAAATAAAATAAAAATACAGCGAAGTGGTGAAGTGAATTCAACGTTCCAGTCCAAAAGTCCCAAGCCCATTTGAGGAACTTCCGAGAGGTGTGGACTTCAATTCCCAGAATTCCTCACCCATCTTAAAGGGGCCAGGGCTGACAAGCAGGAAGGAGAACCACAGGGCTGAATAAATCTGAGCTGTTCCAGAAGACCTCAGTCTGTCATATCCGACATCATTTAGCAATCCTTCGAAATCACAGTGACATTGAAAAAAGTGACTTATTAGTGGTCCTCTCACTTATGACCGTCGCAGCCCATGATCAAAATTTAGCTCCATGGCAACTGGCATGTATTTACTAGGGTTGCAGCGTCCCAGGGTCACGTGATCGCCGTTTGCCACCTTTCCAGCCAGCTTCTGACAAGCAACATCAGTGGGGGGAAGCCAGATTCACTTAACGACCTCGTGGTTCACTTAACGACGATGGCGAATCACTTAACGATGGTGGAGATTCATTTAACGGCAATGATGATTCACTTGATGGTGATGATTCACTTAACGGCGGCGATTCACTTAACAAATGTGTCATAAAAGTTTGTAAAAATGGGGAATCGCCTTGCTTAGCGACAGAAATGCTGGTCTTCTTTTGTGGTCGTAAGTCGAGGGCCACCTGTAGTTTCTCCAAGCCTGTTCTAATAAAATATTTCCATGTATGATGAAGGACTTTGTGTTTTACGCACGGTTTGTTTATTCCCGTTTTCTAGGAATTTATTGCCTTTGGAATCAGCAATATCTTTTCAGGAGCCTTTTCTTGCTTTGCTGCAACCACCGCGCTCTCTCGCACTGCGGTCCAAGAAAGCACAGGTGGAAAAACTCAGGTATTTACCTGGCCCAGAAGGAAGGGACGTCTGCTGCCTGTCCATCATTCTTGGAACTGATTTGCCGGAGCGGATTTTGAACAAGTCATCTAATGATTGATCCTAGTTGCATAGGATTTTAGCCTAAGACAGGGGCGGGCAACCTTGGCTCTTTTATGACTCGTGGACTTCAACTCCCAGAATTCCTGAGCCAGCATGGGGGAACTATGGCCCCCTCATGACTTGTGGACTTCAACTCCCAGAATTCCTGAGCCAGCATGAGGGAAACTTTGGCCCCCTCATGACTTGTGGACTTCAACTCCCAGATTTCCTGAGCCAGCATGGGGGAACTATGGCCCCTTCATGACTGGTGGACTTCAACTCCCAGAATTCCTGAGCCAGCGTGGGAGAATTATGGCCCCCTCATGACTTGTGGACTTCAACTCCCAGAATTCCTGAGCCAGCATGGGGGAACTATGGCCCCTTCATGACTGGTGGACTTCAACTCCCAGAATTCTTGAGCCAGCATGGCTCAGCTTGGAAACCTCTCCCTTTCCCCTCAGTGTGGCTGCTCAGGAATTCTGGGAGTTGAAGTCCACGAGTCATAAAAGAGCCAAGATTGCCTACCCCTAGTTTAGGGTTTGGGTTAGGGTTAGGGTAAGGGTTGGCGTTAGGATTAGGATTAGGATTAGGATTAGGCTTTGGGTTGGAGTGGGCTTGGGTTAGGATTAGGCTTTGGATTAGGGTTAAGATTAGGATTAGGCTTTGGGTTAGGGTTGGGGTTGGGGTTAGGATTAGGTTTTGGATTAGGGTTAGGGTTAGGGTTCGGATTAGGATTAGGATTAGGCTTGGGGTTAGGGTTAGGGTCAGAGTTAGGATTAGGGTTAGGGTTAGGGTCAGAGTTGACTTCCTTATCTTGTCAGCTTTGCTTGTTCCTGTAGACCCAAACATTCTTCTCCTAGAACTAATATTGATAATTCTGCTCTATCTGTCTCTCCCAACACTTTAATTCCTGTCGCACATTAAACAGGCACGTGTAGATCGGACATCCTTATTGGTATATGACTATGAAGCTTAGTTTTAAAAATATCAAGTTTTAAAATAGGGTTTTGAAGTCACATGTCCTTGTGCAAAAAGAATGAAAAAATATCTCTGATTCTCTCGGAATGTTATTTTGACAAGTCAAACTCTCTACTGAAAACAGCTCACTAACTGTGTAAACTAGCCCCTTTGCATAAGTATTCCTGAAAACAAACTTATTTTCTTGATGATTCCCAATATTTTATTTTCAGGTGGCCGGTATAATCTCAGCGCTTATTGTACTAATTGCTATTGTCGCTTTGGGGAAACTGCTGGAACCGCTGCAAAAGGTATTTTATTCTGATATATTTTACCCTTTGTTTCATATTTTGTGCTCTGGATAAACAGAAATCTCCCTCCTTTTCTTGCATGACACAGGTCAGCTACTGTAATGGGGATAAAATAAAAGGTGATCCTTAAATTGACAACTGTTCATTTAAAAATGGTTCAGAGTTACAACAGCCTCAGTAAACACAGCTTACAATTTACAACAGGTGCACCCACCCTTACTATCACATAATTGCAACTCAGGCACTGGGTAACTAACTCACATCTACAACACTTGCAGCAACTAAGATGATTAAAGGTTGGAGATTAAAACATAGGAAGAACGGTTGCAGGATTTGGGTTTGGCTAGTCTAGATAAAAGAAGGACTAGGGGGGACATGATAGTAGTATTCCAGTATTTGAGGGGCTGCCACAAAGAAGAGTGGGGGGTCAACTTATTCTCCAAAGCACCAGAAAGCAAGACAAGAAACAATAGATGGAAACTAATCAAGGAGAGAAGCACCCTGGAATTAAGGAGAAAGTTCCTAACAGTGAGGATGATTAACCAGTGGAACGACTTGCCACCAGAAGTGGCAGGTGCTCCATCACTGGAGGCTTTTAAGAAGAGACTGGACAGCCACTGGTCTGAAATGGTAGAGGGTTGCCTGCTTGAGCAGGGGGGTGGATTAGATGACCTCCAAGGTCCCTTCCAGCTCTATTCGGATTGATTTTGCAGTTACACGATGGCAATTTATGATCTTCCCAGCTGGGAAGTCATTTGAGGAATCTGGATTTGCTGAACAACTTCATGATTCGCCTTAATGACTCTGGTAGAAATGGTGATAATTTGCTTCATGATAGCAAGCGAAATTTCAGTCCCGATTGTAATCAGAAGTAGAGGACTTATCTGAATTTATCTATCCAGAGGCATTCCTAGGAGATTAGATTAGATTAGATTAGATTGCCTTTGTTGTCATTTTTTTGTAAAATGTAAAATGTACATTTTTGTAAAATGTAAAAGACATGGACATAAACAAGGGGCTACATTTTGACATTTTTAACCACTCCCCCAAAACCTCCGCTTGTACAGGTAGTCCTCACTTTATGACCATCCAGCCCAAAATTTCTGCTGTTAAGTGAGACATTTGTGAGGTGAATTTTGGTCTTTTTTATGACCTTTCTTGCCACAGTTGTTAAATAAATCATTGCAGTGGTTAAGTTAGTTCCCCCGTGACTTTACTTGTCAGAAGATCACAAAAAGTTGATCACATGAACTTTGGACACGGCCACGGTCGTAAGTATGAACCCAGTTGCCAAGCGTCTGAGTTTTGATCACGTGACCCTGGGGATGCTGCAACAGTTGTGTGAAAAACGGTCATAAGTCGCTTTTTTCAGGGCCGTTGCAACTTTGAACCATCCCTAAATGAATTGTCGTAAGTCGAGGATTACCTGTAACTTCTTCGGAGTCTCTCAAACGGGTTTTTGCTTTTTTTAAAACAACAATAACGCTAATGTTTCTTTTTCTCTTTGTAGTCTGTTTTGGCAGCTGTGGTCATTGCGAACTTAAAAGGGATGTTCATGCAAGTTTGCGATGTCCCTCGTTTGTGGAGGCAGAGCAAAGCAGACGCAGTGAGTCCCGTTGCCGTTCGGTTCACAAAAAGCTGAGAGTTATTGGTCACACTTGAATTAATCTCTTCTCTATTTAAGCAGCTGCCTTTCGCTTCACTTAATAATTAATCCCTTGCTGAGAATCTCATGTCACCGGGAGAAAAAAACAACAACTAAAAACCAAGAGCTTCTTGGTTATTCCAGGGAATTTCTGACCATCGAAGATCCGTGTCGGGCAAGAAAAATCAGCCCCACACCGAAGGTCAAATTAAACTGATTTACTATTAAAGGCCTATGCAGAGGAATCTTCTCAACTAGGAGTTGAGAATTTGCTAGCAGTTAGATAAGGGTCCACAGAATTCAAGGGAGGCTACAGTTTGTTTGTTTGTGGCTATGTAGGGATGCTAAGCTGATTCCTCTTTTGACTCCACCCACAGTTTCTGCCATTCCTTCTCCTACACTCCTATAACCGTCTCTAACTAATTTCGCTTTTCTGAAATAGCCTTCCTACACAGGCTTTGTTTTTACTGAGGAAGTTTCAGTAACATATCGGTTATCATACTATCAAGAGGATGGCCTCAGAAAAATGTATTCATCCTATCTATAGAAAACTAGCACGTTAAGAAGAAAATAAAACTGCAGACCTTTCTTCTAACAAATATTTGTTGTTGGTTATTGGAAGGTGCAAAACTTGTGTGGACCCTCTGGTGTGAACTTTCTAACCACACCCGATTTAACCTGTGTTGGGCAGCCACTCTCCAACCGTTGTGGGGAGATGTTAACTTCTTCATGTTCAAAAAATTAATTAATGAATTCACGAAAGTGGGATTAAACGAGTATGAGGCTAAGACAAAAGTTTATCAAATCAGGTAGAACTCGATCACATATTGTAATACTAGGAGCAATAGTACTTAGACTTAGTTACTTAACAATTGCAGTGACTCACAATTGGGGCGAGAAAGTTTGTAAAAATGGGGCAAAGTTCACTTAGGAACAGAAAATTTGGGCTCAACTGTGGCCGTATGTTGAGGACTACCTGTATACTGGCCCATAGTGCTTTACAATCTGAGTCCTCATTTTACCGAATTCGGGAGGACGGAAGGCTGAGTCAACCTTGAGCCAGTCAGGATCAAACTCCAGGTGATGGGCAGAGTTTGCCTGCAATTCTGCATTCTAACCATTGCACCACCAGGAAGGAGAATGAGGAAGGGAATAAGAGGGAAGAAGGGAGGGAGGGACGAAGGAAGGAAGGGAGGGAGGAAGGAAGGAAGGAAAGGAGGAAGGAAGGAAGGAATAGCAATAGACTTATATACTGCTTCACAGTGCTTTACAGTTCTCTCCAAGCGGTTTACAGAGTCAGCCTGTCGCCCCCAACAATCTGGGTCCTCATTTTACTGAATTTGGAAGGACAGAAGGCTGAGTCAACCTTGAGCCAGTCAGGATCAAACTCCTGGCAGTGGGCAGAGTTAGCCTGCAGTATTGCATTCTAACTATTGCACCACCAGGAAGGAGAATGAGGAAGGGAATAAGAGGAAAGAAGGAAGGAAGGAAGGAAGGAAGGAAGGAAGGAAGGAAGGAAGGGAGGGAGGGAGGGAGGGAGGGAGGGAGGAATAGCAATAGACTTATATACTGCTTCACAGTGCTTTACAGCCCTCTCCAAGTGGTTTACACAGTCAGCCTGTCGCCCCCAACAATCTGGGTCCTCATTTTACTGAATTTGGAAGGACAGAAGGCTGAGTCAACCTTGAGCCAGTCAGGATCAAACTCCTGGCAGTGGGCAGAGTTAGCCTGCAGTATTGCATTCTAACTATTGCACCACCAGGAAGGAGAATGAGGAAGGGAATAAGAGGAAAGAAGGAAGGAAGGAAGGAAGGAAGGAAGGAAGGAAGGAAGGGAGGGAGGGAGGGAGGGAGGGAGGGAGGGAGGGAGGGAGGGAGGAAAGGAGGAAGGAAGGAAGGAATAGCAATAGACTTATATACTGCTTCACAGTGCTTTACAGCCCTCTCCAAGTGGTTTACACAGTCAGCCTGTCGCCCCCAACAATCTGGGTCCTCATTTTACTGAATTTGGAAGGACAGAAGGCTGCGTCAACCTTGAGCCAGTCAGGATCAAACTCCTGGCAGTGGGCAGAGTTAGCCTGCAGTATTGCATTCTAACTATTGCACCACCAGGAAGGAGAATGAGGAAGGGAATAAGAGGAAAGAAGGAAGGAAGGAAGGAAGGAAGGAAGGAAGGGAGGGAGGGAGGGAGGGAGGGAGGGAGGGAGGGAGGGAGGAATAGCAATAGACTTATATACTGCTTCACAGTGCTTTACAGCCCTATCCAAGTGGTTTACACAGTCAGCCTGTCGCCCCCAACAATCCGGGTCCTCATTTTACCGACCTCGGAAGGATGGAAGGCTGAGTCAACCTTGAGCCCCGTCAGGATCGAACTCCAGACAGTGGGTAGCGTTTGCCTGCAATACTGCACGGTGCCACCAGGGCTCTTCAAAGCCTATTGACGGCAATCTCGATGGGGTGATTTAACACCCCCGTCTCTTTCTTTTTCCAGATGATCTGGATTTTCACGTGTGTAGCATCCATCATCCTGGGATTGGATTTGGGATTACTTGCTGGTTTGGTATTTGCCCTGCTGACGGTGGTGCTGAGAGTTCAGTTGTGAGTATAATTCCCCCAAAAAGAACTTTGCGCCCAAGACTGGAAAATAAATGCAAACCCCTCCCCAGACGGAGGTTTTTCAAGCACAAAGTGCTACCAAAGCTGCCATTGCTTTTGCTTCTGCTATTTGCGGATAGCCCTTGACTTCATTTAGCACACTGGTTCTCAACCTTTTTAATGCCGCAAGCCCCAACCGGTCGTAAGTCGAGGACTACTCAACCGGTCGTAAGTCGAGGACTACTCGACTGGTGCAGCATCATTTGCAGAATGGGACTTTTGGTGGGCTCAGCAGGGCAGAGACAGCCTGGACAATTCCTATTGGCTTTTGAAAGCCAATAGAATTAGACTCTATTCAAGAGAGTCTATTCTATTGGCTTTCAAAAGCCAATAGAATAAAAGGGAGGAGCACAGCTAAGGAAAAGGGGGAAAAAATAGTGGACTGCGTTGTTTGGCGACCCCCGTGAAATGGTCGTTCGACCCCAAATGGGGTCCCGACCCACAGGTTGAGAACCACTGATTTAGCAGCTGTTCAAAGCTACAACGGCACTGAAAAATATGACTTATAACCGGACCTTTTGCTCCTGATGGTTGCAGCATCCCCATAGTCACAGGATCACAATTTGGGCACTTGGCAACTGGTTGCAGCATCCTGGGGTTGTGTGATCGCTATTTGTGACCTTCCCAGAGAGCTTCTGACAAGCAAAATTAATGAGAGACGACAGATTCGCTTAATGACAGAAAGATTCACTAAAACTGCAATAGAATAGAATAGAATAGAATAGAGAAATAAGAATAAAATAGATAGAATAGAATAGAATAGAATAGAATAGAATAAAGAAATAAGAATAGAATAGAATGGAATGGAATAGAATAGAATAGAATAGAATAGAATAGAATAGAATAGAATAGAATAGAATAGAATAGAATAGAGAAATAAGAATAGAATAGAATAGAATAGAATAGAATAGAATAGAATAGAATAGAATAGAATAGAATAGAATAAAGAAATAAGAATAGAATGGAATGGAATGGAATGGAATGGAATAATAGAATAGAAAGGATAATAGGATAGGATAGAATAGAATAGAATAGAATAGAAGAGAATAGAATAGAATAGAAAGAAATAAGAATAAAATGGAATGGAAATAGAATGGAATGAATATGAATAGGAATAGAATAGAGAATAGAATAGAATAGAATAGGAATAGAATAGAATAAGAATAGATAGGAATATAAGAAGAATAATAGCATAGAATGGAATAGAAATAGAATAGAATAAGAATGAATAGAATAGAATAAGAATAGAATGGAATGGAATGGAATAGAATAGAATAGAATAGAATAGAATAGAAAAGAATAGAATAGAACAGAATAGAATAGATAGAATAGAATAAATAAATAATAATAGAATGGAATTGAATGGAATGGAATGGAATGGAATAGAATAGAATAGAATAGAATAGAATAGAATAGAATAGAATAGAATAGAATAAAGAAATAAGAATAGAATAGAATAAATTAAATAAGAATAGAATAGAATAAAGAAATTAGAATAGAATAGAATAGAATAGAATAGAATAGAATAGAATAAAGAAATAAGAATAGAATAGAATAAATTAAATAAGAATAGAATAGAATAGAATAAAGAAATTAGAATAGAATAGAATAGAATAGAATAGAATAGAATAGAATAGAATAGAATAGAATAGAATAGAATAGAACGCAGAATGGAATGGAATGGAATGGAATAGAAGCTGGAAGAGACCTTGGAGATCTTCTAGTCCAGCCCCCTGCTCAAGCAGGAGAACCTATACCACCTCAGACAGATGATTGTCTAGACTCTTCTTAAAAATCTCCAGTGATGGAGCGTCCACGATTCCTGGTGGAAAGCTGTTCCACTGGTTGATTGTCCTCACTGTTAGGAAGTTTCTCCTTAATTCCAGGTTGCTTCTCTCTTTGATCAGTTTCCAACCATTGTTTCTTGTCCTTCCCTCTGGTGCTCTGGTGAACAACCTGACCCACTCTGCCTTGTGGCAGCCCCTCAGATAATAATTCACTTATAATTCACCATGGGAAAGAAAAAGTTGCAAACAGGCTGGGATTCATTTAACAATCACTTCTGTTCCCAATTGTGGTCGTACGTTGAGTTAGGCTATCAGTGATGGCTGAGCTACCCTTGCTTGCAACAAATTTTGTGTATGGCTCCCAGCCATTGCTTGCAACAAATTCTGTTCTGTAGGATTGCATTGGTTTTAATTTTGAAATCTTGATCTTGATCAATATTTTGTTTTGTTTTGTCAGTCCTTCCTGGGGTAAACTTGCTAACGTTCCTGGCACGGATCTGTATAAGAACATCAAAGAATACAAAAATGTAAGACGGTCTAGCAAACTAATATTTCAAATACTTAGAGGGGGGAATAAAAGACTGTTTAAGATTTATTTCGGAGTTGATTGAAATGCGGTCTGCATGACAAAAGGATGGATAGGTCAATTTCTGGAGTCTCATAAAAGATAAAAGTGGGCGGATCGAGAATTAATAACCATTTGAAGCATATCAAACCAAATCAATCCGTTCATCAATTCACTGTTACTTCAGTAGATTATGGCAGGAGTAGGCAACCTTGGCTCTTTTATGACTCGTGGACTTCAACTCCCAGAATTCCTGAGCCAGCCTGGCTCAGCATGGAAACCTCTCCCTTTCCCCTCAGCGTGGCTGGCTCAGGAATTCTGGGAGTTGAAGTCCACGAGTCAGAAAAGAGCCAAGGTTGCCTACCTCTGGATTATGGGAACAAATTGAATTCTTTTTATATAACCAAAGTCTTGTGAAGACTGTTTTTAAGAAAGAGATCATAGCATTTTCGCTGTAGGAGAACCTACAGAAGTGGTAGGACTACAATTCCCAGCATTCAGATGGTCCTGAATGATGGTCATCGACTTACAACAGTTCATTTAGTGACTGTTCAAAGTTACTTCAGCACTGAAAAAAGTGACCTACGACTGTTTTTCACACTGTTGCAGCATCCCCACGGTCACGTGATCAAAATTCGGACGCTTGGCAGCTGACTCATATTTATGACGGTTGCCGCGTCCTAGGGTCACGTGATCCCCTTTTGCGATCTTCAGACAAGCAAAGTCAACGGGGGAAAAGCCAGATTCGCTTAACAACCGTGTTACTAACTTATCAGCTGCAGTGATTCACTTAAAAACTGAGTCACTAATTTAACAACTGCAGTGATTCATTTAACAACAGTGGCAAGAAAAGTCGTAAAACGGGGCCAAATTCACTTAACAAATATCTCCCTTAGCAACAGAAATTTTCAGCTCAACTATAGTTGTAAATGGAGGATTATCTGTATGGGCCAAATTGTTTTGGCTGCTGAGAAGCATATTTCAGCAAGATCTGCAATGCCAAAGGCTGCTTGCTCCCATTTTTGTGGACAATAATATTAGAAGAGCAAAGTCTTGATAGAGGAGAGCGAAAGTAGAATAAAAATCCTCAGAACAATGCTTGCTTCTGTTAGAAATAGTTGGGGCATGGCGAAAGGGCATAGTCTTTATAAATCTAAAACAATACTGTATACACAGTGTGTTATACACACAGAGATATATAGTACACAGTACACAATAAGATAAGATAACCTTTATTGTCATTTTTTTACTGTGGGCACAAAGGCACACATCAAAAATGAAATTTAGTTGCCCGCTCTCAAAGTGAAACTCATACATGATACACACCTAAACATACCATGAACAACATATGTATAGACCCACATCCCTACATATATGTAGCAAATAAATATTAAATACTGTCCATCTTGAAAATATAAGGGAAGGAGGAAGCTTGAGAGTTCACAAGGTTAATGCTGTATGGAATGAAAATTATGGCTGAATCTGGATGTTTTGCTACGGATAATACCCAATATAGTGTACCCTTCATCATGAGCGGCGTTCATCCGATGCAAAAGTGGATTGATTATCTCTGATTGCCAACGAGAGCACACTGTGGGCACTTTAAAAGATTGTTTGAAGGGGACCCATCTATATTTGAACAAATAGCTACTTGATCTTCATATATAGCAGTGGTTCTCAACCTTTTTAATTCCGCGACCCCCAACCGGTCGTAAGTCAAGGACTACTCAACTGGTCGTAAGTCAAGGACTACTCAACTGGTGCAGCACCGTTTGCAGACTGGGGCTTTTGGCGGGCTCAGCAGGGCAGAGACAGCCTGGACAATTCCTATTGGCGTTTGAAAGCCAATAGAATTAGACTCTATTCAAGAGAGTCTATTCTATTGGCTTTCAAAAGCCAATAGAATAAAAGGGAGTAGCACAGCTAAGGAAAAGGGGGGAAAAATATGGCGGACTGCATTGTTTGGCGACCCCCGTGAAACGGTCGTTCGACCCCAAATGGGGTCCCAACCCACAGGTTGAGAACCACTGATATATAGCATATTGGCATATTGACAGCTGTCACTGTAGTGGGGAGAGATGTATAGAGGTTAAGAAGAAGACCGTTATTTGTGGGTTATACAGAATATTATAGAAGTAATTGGGAATTGACCAAGAACAATTTATCTACATGAGAGATGGGAAAATTTGGTTCTGTCTACCTTATTGTTTAAGTCTCACACCCTCTGCTTAGGTTAATCGTAGTAACAGTATAACAGAGTTGGAAGGGACCTTGGAGGTCATCTAGTCCAACCCCCTGCTCAGGCAGGAGACCCTATACCATTTCAGACAAGTGGCTGTCCAGTCTCTTCTTAAAAACCTCCAATGATGGCACACCCACAACTTCTGAAGTCAAGCTGTTTTGCTAGGTTTTTTTTTTCTGAGCCTAAAGCAAATAGGATTTATTTATAATGGAGTCAATACTTATTTTTGCAACAGGTGGTGGAACCCGAAGGAGTGAAGATCCTCAAGTTTTCGAGTCCCATTTTTTACGCTAATATCGATGGCCTAAGAAGCAGTGTCAAATCTACCGTAAGTAGTCGTGTTTTCAAATGTTTGCTACTGAGGTTTATCAAAATATCAATACAGTGTTCCGTGTGAGGTGTAGCACGGATTAAGTTTGTTGAAATGATACCAATAGAATGGAACTGTGGAGTTCTTGAGGCTCTCTGCGTTTGATAGTTTTCGTGTAGACGTTTCATGACCCAGCTGGGCAATATCATAAATCAGAACAGAATTAGGAGGGACCTATAAGGTCTTCTAGTCCAGCCCCTTGCTGAAGCAGGAGACCCTATACCATTTCAGACAAGTGACTGTCCAGTCTCTTCTTAAAACCCCCTACTGATGAAGCACCCACAATTTCTGGAGGCAAGCTGTTCCACTGGTTAATTGTCCTCCCTGTTAGGAAGTTTCTCCTTAATTCCAGGTTGCTTCTCTCCTTGGTTAGTTTCCATCCATTGTTTCTTGTCTTGCTTTCTGGGGCTTTGGAGAATAGTTTGACCCCCTCCTCTTTGTGGCAGCCCCTCAAATGCTGGAACACTGCTATCTTGTCCACCCTAGTCCTTCTTTTCTTTAGACTAGCCAAACCCAAATGCTGCAGCCGTTCTTCATATGTTTTAGTCTCCAGGCCTTTAATAACCTTCCTTGCTCTGCTTTGCAAAGTCTCAACATCTTTTTTATAATGTGGTGACCAAAATGGGATGTTGTATTCCAGGTGTGGCCTTACTAAGGCTTTATAAAGCAGTACTAATACTTCACGTGATTTTGATTCTATGCCTCTGTTTATGCAACCCAGGATTGTATTAGCTTTTTTTGACTGCTGCCGCACACGGCTGGCTCATTTTTAAATGATCGTCCACTAGGACTCCAAGGTCCCTCTCACAGTTACTGTTTTTGAGCCAGGTGTCCCCTAAATTGTACCTTTGTATCAGTGCTACAAGGGAGGGAGGTTGCAAAGTAGTGGAGGAGGAGGAGGAGGAGGAGGAGGAGGAGGAGGAGGAGGAGGAGGAGGAGGAGGAGGAGGAGGAGGAGGAGGAGGAAAAAAAGAGAAAGAAGGAGAAGAAGAAGGAGGAGGAGGAGGAGGAGGAGGAGGAGGAGAGGAGGAGGAGGAGGAAAAAAAGAGAAAGAAGGAGAAGAAGAAGGAGGAGGAGGAGGAGGAGGAGGAAGAGGAGGAGGAAAAAAGAGAAAGAAGGAGAAGGAGGAGGAGGAGGAAGAGGAGGAGGAGGAGGAGAAAAAGAGGAAGAAGGAGGAGGAGGAGAAAAAGAGGAAGAAGGAGGAGGAGGAGAAAAAGAGGGAGAAGGAGAAGAAGGAGGAGGAGGAGGAGGAGGAGGAGGAGGAGAAAAAGAGAAAGAAGGAGAAGGAGAAGAAGGAGGAAGAGGAAGAGGAGAAAAAGAGGAAGAAGGAGAAGGAGAAGGAGAAGAAGGAGGAGGAGGAGAAAAAGAGGAAGAAGGAGAAGAAGGAGGAGGAGGAGGAGGAGGAGGAGGAGGAGAAAAAGAGGAAGAAGGAGGAGGAGGAAAAAAGAGAAAGAAGGAGGAGGAGAAGGAGGAGGAGGAGAAAAAGAGAAAGAAGGAGAAGGAGAAGAAGGAGGAAGAGGAGAAAAAGAGGAAGAAGGAGAAGGAGAAGCAGAAGGAGAAGGAGGAGGAGGAGGAGGAGGAGGAGGAGGAGGAGGAGGAGGAGGAGGAGGAGGAGGAGGAGGAGGAGGAGGAGGAGGAGACAGACAGACCTGGATATGGCTGATTACTAGCCAAGAAACTGCTGGAGAATGCATCTTTTCTTTCTGAAATTCTGGGCTGGATGAGGGTCAGCATATAAGTGTATAAAAGACACCTGAGGTCCACTGTTTTTTAATAGATTGTAGCCCAGGTGTTTCATTTCCTACCCTATGTAAACATGACTAAAAGAAAAATTACTAAATTTGTTCTTTGAAGGTGGGGTTTGACGCTGTGCGGGTGTACAACAAAAGACTGAAGGCGCTGAGGAAAATACAGAAGCTAATCAAGAAAGGAAAATTAAAAGCCACAAAAGTAAAGTGTCAATCTTTGTTCTTCACTCAGTTGTTTTAAAAAGGGTTTTTATCTTGGGCAATCGATTTGAAATTATTTTTCGTTTGCTATACAAGCGACCTGTTTTTCTTTTTCACTTTTAATTACTTGCAGGCACAAACATCTAATTAGCAAGCAAGTCTCAAAATTCTCGTCAATTCCCAAAGCCCTAAATCCATACTCTTAATTTTTCCTTTCGCACATCTGTTTAATGTTTAATTTCACGTGCCCAAATGAAGTATTTACAAAATACAGTGTTCAAAACAACCTAAAGTTGTATTTTTACTGTACACCACCCAAACTCACTCTTGGAATGAGAGGGGCGGTATCTAAATTTGATAAAGCACTAAAAAAAAAAAAAAACACACGTTCAATAAAAAAAGAAGGGAGAAAGGAAACAAAAGTCAGACAAAATATTCTAGCGTAGCAAAAATGAAGGAGTACGCGTAGTCCTCAACTTACAACAATCCATTTAGTGACCGTTCAAAGTTTTACAATGGCACTGAAAAAAGTGACTAAGGATCACTTTTCAGACTTACGACCGTTGTAGCCTCCCCGTGGTCATGGGATCAAAATTTGGGCACTTGGCAATGGACTCATATTTATGACGGCTGCAGTGTCCCAAGATCAGGTGATCACTTGCTGACAAGCAACGTCAATGGGGAAGTCAGATTCATTTAACAACCAAGTTTCTAACTTAACAACTGCGGCAAGAAGGCTCGTAAAATTGGGGCAAAACTCAGGAAGTGTCTCGCTTAGCAACGGAAATGTTGGGCTCAATTTTAGTCGTAAGTCGAGGACTGCCAGTACGCTATAGAGAGCAAAGATATTTGAGGGACACAGATTCCTTCATTAAAAAACTGGAACGTTCCCTAATATATATATAGGGGCATTAAGCAGGCTCAAGTCGCAACTGCGATACATTACAAATTCAGATTTCTTTTTGGTGACAAAGAGTTAAAGATTTAAGTGGGAGACTAGTATAGCTCTTTTGGATTCATTAGTCCTCATCAGCTAGCCACACCCTTTATGGGATTCGAACCTGGGCAGTCTACATGCTAGGCAGTTGTATTAACCTGGTGGCCTGGTGGTTAATATAACTGCCTAGCATGTAGAGTGCCCAGGTTTGAATCCCATAAAGGGTGTGGCTAGCTGATGAGGACTAATGAGTCCAAAAGAGCTATACTAGTTTCCCACTTAAATCTTTAACTCTTTGTCACCAAAAAGAAATCTGAATATATATATGTTTTCTAAGGTTTTCGCGGGTGTTTGTATGTAGGTCTTTGGTTATTCGGGTTTTCTCCCGCGTAAAATTGGAAGTGTCTTGGCGATGTTTCGACGAAGTCCCATTCGTCATCTTCAGGCTGGTGTTTTCAGCTTCGTGCTTCGAGGAGCAATGTGTGGTCTTAGCTGTTTCTTCCTTTTAACTGCCCCTCCAATCCATACATGAAGCAAACTGACACCCACCATGAAGATGAGGCACGACCACGAACGCGAAGCCAAAAAATAGCAAGGCAGCCCACCATCTTAAATCCCCCTGCAACTCAGATTAACCTGAGCATAACAAAGCCCCCACCCAAACAGAACACTTTCCCATCCAATCAGAGCACAGCCAACCCCCCCCATCCAATCAGAACACACCTCTACCCAATCAGAACACAGCCAAGCTCCCACCCAATCAGTTCATACCCCCACTGGCAGTTAAAAGGAAGAAACAGCTAAGACCACACATTGCTCCTCGAAGCACGAAGCTGAAAACACCAGCCTGAAGATGACGAATGGGACTTCGTCGAAACGTTGCCAAGACTCTTCCAATTTTACGTGGGAGAAAACCCAAATAACCAAAGACCTACGTATGTATGTATGTATGTATGTATGCATGTATGTATATCTTGCATCTCCGAATCACACATCTTTGGAAGAAAATTGAGAGGTTAAATTATGGAAGCAAGGAGATACAAAATTCTTGGAAAGAATTTGAAGAGAAAAATGCATCAGAACATCCAGGTTAGGCAAGAAGGTTGACTACAGAGAAGAAAATTCAAGATAAGACAATAATCAGTAGAAAATTAACTTGGGACCAAAGGAAAAAAACCTGGAATGTGACTTGAAAGTTTGTGTGGGTGATAATGTCCCTAGGAGCCACGATTATGGGCAGAAGAGTTGTCGAGTTAAGACTTTTCAACTGGAAGAAGAAGGACAATGATCAAATGACCTCTTTCGGCAATTAAATTTGGGTGCCGAGCAATGATACAACTCGGAGATTTGCAAAAAAAAAAATAGACTTATTTTCTTGTACAGGGGGCATAATGGACTTTGAAATAAATGGCAACCCGTTGCTTTCCTGAGAAGGCCATGTTTTACTTTAAATTATGCATATCTCCATAAATTTCTACAGGTGCAGAACTTGATTTTCTGTTTTTCCAAAACAAAGCTATTTCCTTTTTATTGAAAGGGGCAGGATCTGTGTTTGCCGTAGGGCCAGAGGCAAAGATAAGAGTCCAGGATATGTTCCGTGTTGTTTATTTATGCAGGCATTTGTATGTTCCTAAACGCAGAACATTTATTTATTCATTTGCATCCCGTCTTTATTATTTTTACAAATCACTCGACGTGGCAAACATATCCAGCACACTTACCCCTCTCCTACTTTCCTCACAACGACAGCCTTGTGAGGTAAGGTAAGGTGAGAGAGAGTGACTGGCCCAAAGTCAGCCAGCCGGTGACTTTAAGATGGCACTAGAACTCCCAGTGTCCTGGTGACTGGCCCAACGTCACCCAGCTGGCTTTCATGCCTAAGATGGCACTAGAACTCCCAGTGTCCTGGTGATTGGCCCAACTTCACTCAGTTGGCTTTCATACCTAAGATAGCACTGGAACTCCCAGTGTACCGGTAATTGGCCCAAAGTCACCTAGCCAGTTTTCATGCCTAAGATGGCACTAGAACTCCCAGTGTCCTGGTGATTGGCCCAACATCACCCAGCTGGCTTTCATGCCTAAGATGGCACTCAAACTCCTAGTGTACCGGTGATTGGCCCAAAGTCACCTAGCCGGTTTTCATGCCTAAGATGGCACTAGAACTCCCAGTGTCCTGGTGATTGGCCCAACTTCACTCAGTCGGCTTTCATGCCTAAGATGGCACTAGAACTCCCAGTGTCCTGGTGATTGGCCCAAAGTCACCTAGCCAGTTTTCATGCCTAAGATGGCACTAGAACTCCCAGTGTCCTGGTGATTGGCCCAACGTCACCCAGCTGGCTTTCATGCCTAAGATGGCACTAGAACTCCCAGTGTCCTGGTGATTGGCCCAACATCACCCAGCTGGCTTTCATGCCTAAGATGGCACTAGAACTCCCAGTGTCCTGGTGATTGGCCCAACTTCACTCAGTCGGCTTTCATGCCTAAGATAGCACTGGAACTCCCAGTGTACCGGTGATTGGTCCAAAGTCACCTAGCCAGTTTTCATGCCTAAGATGGCACTGGAACTCCCAGTGTACCAGTGATTGGCCCAAAGTCACCTAGCCAGTTTTCATGCCTAAGATGGCACTAGAACTCCCAGTGTACCGGTGATTGGCCCAAAGTCACCCAGCCGGCTTTTGCGTCTAAGATAAACTAGAACTCACCATCTCCCACTTTCTAGACCGGTGCCTTAACCTCTAGAGCAGTGGTTCTCAACCTGTGGGTCGGGACCCCATTTGGGGTCGAACGACCATTTCATGGGGGTCGCCAAACAAGGCTGTCCGCCATTTTCCCCCCCTTTTCTTTGGCCACGCCCCTGGCACCCGGTGATGTATAAGTGGTTGGGGGTCACCACAACATGGGGAACTGTATTATGGGGTCGCGGCATTAGAAAGGTTGAGAACCATTGCTCTAGAGTAAACTGGCTTTGGTTTTTAAAGAACTGGGCCTCGCTTCTGTTCCCAGGAAGGTTTGTGTAGAGAGTATGCATTATCGTGATTTATGTAAAGAAAATAAGAAATATTAGCTCTGCCATGAGTTGATTAGAAATATTTTGTTGTGAAGAAAAAAAAAATCTGTACTTAGGTGCTTTTTTAATTAAGGAACGTGTTGAACACGCTATCCGTCTCTTCTTACTAGAATGGCATTATCAGTGATTTGGGTACTGTGAATGAGGGTTTTGAATCTGATGATGATCCAGAAGACCCAGTTGATCCAGACATTCCAACCAAAGAAATGGAGATCCAGGTGGATTGGAACGCAGAACTTCCCGTCAAAGTGAATGTTCCTCAAGTGTCCCTCCACAGCCTCATTTTTGACTTTGGAGCCGTCTCTTTCCTGGATGTAGTAGCGGTCAGAGTAATGAAAACAGTAAGGATATCTTCTCACTTTCCTCATCAATCCACCATTAAAATTAGATCATTTAAAGCTAGAGGGATAGTAATAGTTCTGTAACTCTCTTAGGGTTTCTTTCTGCAAGCTTCAACATGTATAGAACAATAGAACAGAATAAAAGAGTTGGAAGGGACCTTGGAGGTCACCTAGTCCAACCCCCTGCTCAGGCAGGAAACCCTATGCCATTTCAGACAAATGGCTGTCCAGTCTCTTCTTAAAAACTTCCAGTGTTGGAGCATTCACCGCTTCTGGAGGCAGGTTGTTCCACTGGTTAATTGTTCTAACTGTCAGGAAGTTTCTCCTTAATTCCTTGATTAGTTTCCACTCAGATGCTTTGGAGAATAGCTTGACCCTTTCTTCTTTGTGAAATTCTGCTATCATGTCACCCCTAGTCCTTCTCTTCATTAGAATAGAATAGAATAGAATAGAATAGAATTAGAGCAGAATAGAATAGAATAGAATTAGAGCAGAATAGAATAGAATAGAATAGAATAGAATAGAATAGAATAGAATAGAATAGAATAGAATAGAATAGAATAGAATGGACCTTGGAGGTCTTCTAGTCCAGCCCCCGCTCAAGCAGGAGAACCTATACCGTCTCCAGTGATGGAGCGCCCACGATTTCTGGTGGCAAGCTGTTCCACTGGTTAATTGTCCTCACTGTCAGGAAGTTTCTCTTTAATTCCAGATTGCTTCTCTCTTTGATCAGTTTCCAGAGTGAAGCAACCTGGAATTAAGGAGAAACCTCCTGACAGTGAGGACAATTAACCAGTGGAACAGCTTGCCACCAGAAATTGTGGGTGTTCCATCAATGGAGATTTTCAAGAAGAGGCTAGACAGTCACTTGTCTGAGATGGTATAGGTCCTCCTGCCTGAGCAAGGGGCTGGACTAGAAGACCTCCAAGGTCCCTTCCAGCTCTATTCTATTCTCAAGGTGGCAGTGATAAAAATAGAAATTTAACCATGCAATTGGAATTGATACCAAAGTAAAGGTAAACTTTTATGCATGGATATATGATAACCACAGAAGAGAAAATGTGTAGCTCAGATTGAACGGTGGGGGTACTTGCTGTTCTCTGAGCTTGGCGGTTTTCTTGCAGACGTCTCAGGACCCAACTAGGGAACATCATCAGCGCTGAATAGGTAACATTTATTTGGCCTTGTGTACTAGATTTACAAATTTAAATGAGACCTGGATCAGAAAAATTAATTCTGAACACACCCTCCGGTGTTCCCCACGTGTCCTTAGAGCTATATTTAAGATAACACTCATCTTTTTTTTTTCCAGATTGTCAAAGAGTTCAAGAGAATTGATGTGTCAGTATACATCGCATCACATCTAGGTAAATACAAATCTGCACATTATTATTACAGCTTTTTTTTTTGTTACAGGGAACAGAGCACAGAGAACAGTGTAGGAGAAATGTTTAATCTGGAAGAAATAGTTTTGAAAGTATTGTAGTAATGACCTCCCACCACAATCCCAAATTCCATCCTCAGCCCTTTCATTTTTAAATCCAGCGAGTGACCAACATTGCGGAATTCATGATAAACCTCCTCCTTCAAGTCATAAAAAGCTCCTATATGCAGGTAGTCCTTGACCTATGACCACAATTGAGCCCAAAATTTCTGTTGCTAAGTGAGGATTTGTTAAGCGAGGTCTTTATGACCTTGCTTGCCACAGTTGTCGTGAATCACTGCAATTGTGAAGTTATTAACACACGTGTTAAGTGAATCTGGCTTCCCCATTGACTTTGATTGCCAGAAGGTCGCAAAAGGGGATCACGTGACCCAGGGATGCGGTGACCGTCATAGATATGAGTCAGTTGCCAGGAGTCTGAATTTTGATCACATGACCGTGGGGATGCTGCAACAATTGTAACTGTGAAAATGTTCATAAGTCCCTTTTTTAGTGCCGTTGTAAATTGAACGGTCACTAAATGAATTATTGTAAGTTGAGGACTGCCTGTATTCTGTACATAAATTTACCCCCCATTTTCCTAGGTCAGGGGTAGGCAACCTTGGCTCTTTTATAACTCATGGACTTCAACTCCCAGAATTCCTGAGCCAGCATGGGGGAAATTTTGGCCCCTTCATGACTCGTGGACTTTAACTCCCAGAATTCCTGAGCCAGCCTGGCTCAGCTTGGAAACCTCTCTCTTTCCCCTCAGCGTGGCTGGCTCAAGAATTCTGGGAGTTGAAGTCCACCAGTCATAAAAGAGCCAAGGTTGCCCACCCCTGTCCTAGGTGAACACCAATGAACTGTAATCTATATTTGTTCTTACACATTGTAATTTTATACATTGTATTTTGAAACAAGCTTATTATAGCGTGCCTGGAGGGAAGTTCAAAATTTCTTTCCGGAGAGTTTTTGGAAGTCTCTTTTTAAGAAAAGAGTCCTTTCCACGAGCCTACTATTTATAGGTTTAATAAGTTAATAAAGAATTTTCAGAAATTTATTTTATTTACTTATTTACTGATTTACAACGATCTCATATATATAGTTTTAACAGGTGTGAATATTCAAACTGATTGTTATCTGTCTGGTGTTGGTCATATTTTTTATTGTATATTTTCCCTGCAGACCACATTATTAAAACATTAGAACACTGTGCCTTTTTTGATGATGACATTCAAAAAGAAGTATTTTTCCTGACTGTACACGATGCTGTACTACATATACAGAGTCAAGTCATGTATAGAGAGGCCCAAGACCCTATAGCTGAAAAGGTAGGACCTGTACATATTTTATATTTATTTATGAACCTATTGGTACGGCATTTTATTGACACCCGCATAATATTTTCACATAAGTCCTGGTTATTTTCATTCCACTTTGCAATATTTAATAGAAAAGGAAATACTCGGTTAACTGCCTTTGTGGGGGGAAAACATGTTCACAGTGGATATTTAAATATCATTTAAATAATTTTTGAAAGAATGCCTCTGTGCAGATTCAAGGATCATTGCTTTTAAAGAGGTTTTAATTTACTTTAATTTAATTTAATTTAATTCAATCAGAGAATTGTACTTAATTGTTTAACAGAACAGTATTATCTACTCAATCAATTAATTTGTGATTTGTCATGTGAATAACTCTACGTTCTTTTGGCCCAGATATCCTTGATGCAGGAATCAAAAGAACCGATAGAATTTCCAGAAACTTACCAGAGTGAAGAGCTGGATGTTCAAGAAGAGGTATTTTCTCATTTCAAATCTGCATGGTTATCATTTTTTAATCATAAAATAATACAAGTAGCCATCGACATGAGCACAGGAGACCCTGCCCATTACGATCGTAAGTTGGGACAGTCATAAACTGGGTTGTCCCATGCCCGATCATTGTTAAGGGAACCCCACAGTTGCTAAGAAAACCAATTGTCCACTATGGGATGGTTTTGTGGCAAACAGGAAGTAAAGGCTGGGTTTTGGGGAAACATGTGAAATGTAGTCATGGGATCACAGGGTGTTGCAAACAGCTGTCAATGTGAGCTGGTTGCTGAGTGCCCAAAATGTAGTCATGTGACTGCAGGGGGGGATCCCAGCCATCGGAACTTCAGAAGCAAGTTGTAAGAAAACTTCACTTCCTTCTAGCATGGATGATGTTACCTAGTTGGGTAATGGAATGTCTACAAGGAAACCACCAAGCTCAGAGAGCGCCAAGGACCCCACAGTCCTCATCCCTCCTCTCCACAAATCCTACTCCCTTCTAGCACTGATAATGTTACTTAGTTGGGTAAAGAAATGTCTGCAAGGAAGCCACCAAGCTCAGAGAGTACCAAGGACCCCATAGTCGTCGTCATCGCCATCCTCCTCCTCCTCCTCCTCCTTCTCCTCCTCTCCACAAATCCTACTCCCTTCTAGCACTGATGATGTTACTTAGTTGGGTAAAGAAATGTCTGCAAGGAAACAACCAAGCTCAGAGAGTACCAAGGACCCCATAGTCCTCTTTCTCCTCCTCCTCCTCCTCCTCCTCCTCCTCCTCCTCCTCCTCCTCCTCCTCCTCCTCCTCCTTTCCACAAATCCTACTCCCTTCTAGCACTGATGATGTTACTTAGTTGGGTAAAGAAATGTCTGCAAGAAAACAGGCAAGCTCAGAGAGCACCAAGGACAGCTGTAAATAAGATTCTGTCATGGTAACTGGGTTCTCTTAACCTCACATTTGCAGCATCTTCAATAAACTATTTTCAAGAGTTCTTTGGGGAAAAATAAACCTAATTTACCTGATATAGACGATATGGCTACCGTGGTAATCAACATCTATTTAGTCTTCACAGTTTTCATTTCAAATTTAGAATTCCAATCCTATTTCCCTTTCTTTTCTTTTCTTTTTTCAAAACTAGGCTATGCGCAGACTTGCTTCCTAAAGGACAGCTTCAGGCTTGGGAAGAACCATGGACAGCGTACATCAATACTTCAAGTATCATGGGACACACTCTGTTGCACTAGGAGAAAATATTTATGTTATTCAAGAGACTTCCTTCTTTCCCTGCATCCTATAATTTATTTAAATTATTGGTCAACCTGTTCGGTACCAAATTGCTTCGGAACCGGTTTGCAGAATTGTTAAAAAAAACATCGTAGGCCCAGCTATTGCAAACGGGGGCGCCCATGCATAATGTATTTGTGTGTTATTGTAATTTTGATACACAGAAGCAGTTGCAGGAAAGGAAATGTAGTTCTCAGGTAACACCAGGCAACAGGTGCTGATCTCAGCGGTACCCAAGTGCTACCCATCCTGCTGGAACTATGTTTGTGGCAGGCGAATAATGCAATAATCTTGAAGCACAAAACTGGCCTCAGAAGCTAGCTTAAAACACATTGAGTGCATTTAATCGCTTCCACAGAAATCAGAGAGTTCGCTTTAAGTATCTGATTTTTTTTCCTGCAAGGTTTAAATCAAGGGAGATCAAAGTTTGCTTGAAAAGTATTTCCTGAGAAGAATCCAAAGGAGAACACATTTCCAGCACATTTTACATTACTGCATTACAAAATGTTCTTTTCCCATGTAGTGGTGTATCTTCACCCTTTACCTTCTATAATGTTTCTCAACTTCGGCAACTTTTAAGATTTATCGACGTTAGCCCCAAAATTCCTCCTGCTGGCTAGGGAATTCTTGATGTATGGACTTCAACTCCCAGAATTCCTCACCCAGCATGCTGACTGAGGAATTCTGGGAGTTGAAGTCCACACATCTTAAAAGTTGCCAAAGCTGAGTAACACTGACTTACTGTATTAAGGAGCGGAATTGTGCAATATTACGGACTCCGACGTGAATTTTTTAAAATGATAAATTGGGTTTCATTGTTGAGCCCAATTCCCTCCCACTGTTGACACTTTTTGCAGCAATGTCTAACTATGATTTCACTCTCGAAACATCATCTTTTAATCAATCCATAGGAGAAATATTCAGGGACATCTCAAATCTGGAAATTACAGATTATTTATTCTGGAACAAAGCATCATTTCGTTCCTTGCAATAATAGCAACCTTGACGACTTGAAAGTGTGTGGACTTCAACGCCCAGAATTCCTCAGTCAGCATGCTGGCTGAGGAATTCTGGGAGTTGAACATACATCAAGTCACCAAGGTTGGGAACCACTGCAGATCCGGTGCGTAAAAATCTAAAGTTATGTCTCCACTGCACAGACTCATTCTAACGCAACATATTATGCTAGTTCTTAATGCAGATGTGCCAATTAAAAACTAAACAAGTGGACAGGGTTATCTGCGTGGAAATTAAGAAAAAATAGTCTCTGGCCTCTTGATCAAAGCTCTGCTCCTTTTATATGCAAATTGTAGATGTGCCACTCACGAGGGGGCGGGGCTTTGTTCCTACGGTTGTGATCATGTGGCTTTATTTAATCCTTTCCCTTCAGGTGCCTCTGGAATTGGACATTGATTTGGGAGTATTAATTGAATGTGTATATGTATACTCAGGAGAAATATTTGAGAATAAACAGCCTTTGGGAATCTTGGCTTGGGAATCTTCCTGTTCTTGTCCCTTTCATAAAAGATTTATAAATAAACATTTGCAGAATTGTTTGTGTGTCTGAAAAAGTCTCTTTTTCTGCTTAGAAGCTTCCTGCAGAAGGGTTTTTATATAGAAATACATCTGAATATTATCATTTTTTTACCATTCAGAGATCCTATTGGTCAGTAAGGGAAAAGGGATGATTTGCAGAGACACAACTGCTATTGTGTGATTGAAGCTCTGCCTGAGGACCACAAAATATAAGAAAAAAGTGAGGTCCTTCTTGCTCTTTGAGTTTGATTGTTTGCTTGCCAATGTTTCATTTACCTGGCTGAGTGCTCACTAGAGCTGGATACGGAAATGTCTGCAAGAAAACCACCCAGCTCAGAAAAACACCAAGGACCCCACAGTTCAACCCTGAGTTACAGATATTCTCTTTGATTTAATACAAGGAAACAGGCTTTCAAACAGGCTAAGTTCCCCAGGGAAGTGCACTAAGAACTAAGGAATTAAATTAATAATTTAAATGAAAACTTAATTTCAGATTGCTTGAGCAAACTTCCCCTCAGAAAGATCAGGCATTCATCGATTCGTATTTCAGGAATTCATTCAATTTTTGTTTGCCATGTCGAAAGAAACATCTTCATCAGGGTCCAGTCTAAGCTGGGAATAAACAAAATGGAGACTGATTTAGAAAGAAGGTTGCAGTTTATTGAAGAGCAGAGCCAGATAGAAAGATGGCTCTGGGAAAGCTGACCACACGTAGCTGGGAGTGGTGGGTTTTTATACCTTCTTGAGCTTTTGTTTGAAGTTGTTACAATGGCATTGAAAAAATCAACTTATGACTGTTTTTCACATTTATGACCATTGCAGAATTGCAAACACCACGTGATCAAAATTCAGACACTTAGCAACTGACTCATATTTATGACGCTTGCAATATCTTGGGGTTATGTGATAACCTTTTGTGATCTTCAGACAAGCAAAGTCAAAGGGGAAGCCAGATTCACTCAACAAGTGCAGTGATTCACTTAACAACTGTGGCAAGAAAAGACGTAGCATGTCTCATTTCAAATTTGGGCTCAATTGTGGTTGTACGTCAAGGACTACCAATAGATAGATAGATAGATAGATAGATAGATAGATAGATAGATAGATAGATAGATAGATAGATAGATAGATAGATAGATAGATAGATAGATAGATAGATAGATAGATAGATACCGGCATATAAGACGACTTTCGCAAGCATTAAAATTGGTGCCAAAGTCGGGGGTCATCTTATACGCCAAGTCGTCTTATACCCCAGAAATAATGGTAGTTTATGGCATATAAGACGACTTTCTAGGCATGCGACTCGGCGCTGAAGTCGGGGTCATCTTATACGCCGGGTCACCTTATACGCTGGAATATACGGTAGATAGATAGATAGATAGATAGATAGATAGATAGATAGATAGATAGATAGATAGATAGATAGATAGATAGATAGATAGATAGATAGATCCATCAATCTTTCAAAATTCTCTGCAAAGGTCATGCTGGCTGGAGAATTCTGGGAGTTCTTCTAATTGCTCTGATAATTATTTTTTTTTATTGGATGATTTCTGCCGCCTAGTGTGCAATTGTGGCATTGTGTCGAGTGTACTTTTCACCCCATTCTGAATTTGCTTAGTTTCTCTTCTCTGCTCTCACCAACCCTACAAGGCTGAGATGCTCGCCCGTTACCAAGGCAACCGGAACGCCGCCCGAATGCTGGTCGCGGGAGGGGAGGGGGCCACCGGCGGTGGGAAAGGAACAACAATTCCCAGGATGCAATTCGGCATGAAGCGGCGCCATTTTCTTTTCTTTTTTTTTTAAAAAAGGAGCCTAGATATAAGAAATGTTTTTCTAGATTGACTAGATTTGCACGGTAGAAAACCCAAATAACCCCTGGAGGACAGCAAAGAGCTGCCAACCGTCTGAATCTTTCTCCCATCCGGTGTTTTGTGCCTTTTATACTCTTTTAATAACCCCGACAGGGAAGTAGAAAAGCATCCCGGAAGGATCCCAAAGCAAACTATTCTTCCTCCGAGTCCTTTCCCCGGAATTGAGGGAGATTTTATTGCAGTAATAAAGACTCCATGGAAGACGTCTTCTCAGGGATCCAGACAACTTAGACCAGTGTTTCTCAACCTTGACCATTTTAAGGCATGTGGACTTCAACTCCCAGAATTCCACAGCCAGCAATGCTGGCTGTGGAATTCTGGGAGTTGAAGTCCACATGCCTTAAAATTGTCAAAGTTGAGAAACACTGACTTAGACTGACCCACCAATGGGTTGACTGGAAGTTTATGGAAATCAGCAGTCTTTTCCTAACACCCCCCACCCATATTTGCTTTAAATAGCTAGACATTGTTGACATTGATGTTACAGTGATTTTCTTTTGGGGAAAATCGAATCAGTTCACTTGTAGGGAGCCAATCAGAAAGGAAGCCTTGGTGGGGGGGGGGAGGGAAGGAGTAGACTTGCGTGTGGCACGTCTACCCTTTACAATCTCTATGGCCGATGCTACGCGCGACGGAGCGGGTGGCGCCCTTTGATGTCGTCACGGCGCAGCTGTTCTTCTGGTGCCAGCATGGAAGGACTGAAAAGTACTCCCGAGACGGGCACGGCAGCCCTTTCCAAGCCGGGGACTGGGGAGCTCCTGGGAGATGGTGAGGAAGAAAGACGGAGGAGGGGGGCGAGGGGAAGGGTCTGCCCTGGTTGTTGGCGGGGTTTTAATTACTTTATCCCCCCCCGAAGCCCCCCCCCAAAGACCCCGTGGGTTCCCTGGCATTAATTGCTTGCCTAGGGGGCTGCAAATCTCTCTGGGCATCGCTAGGTGGCAGCAGAGATTTCCCCAGGACAGGGGTAGGCAACCTTGGTACTTTTATGACTGGTGGACTTCAACTCCCAGAATTCCTGAGCCAGCCTGGCTCAGCTTGGAAACCTCTCCCTTTTCCCTCAGCGTGGCTGGCTCAGGAATTCTGGGAGTTGAAGTCCACGAGTCATAAAAGAACCAAGGTTCCCCACCCCTGCCCTATATCAGGGGTCCTCAACCTTGGCAACTTTAAGACTCGTGGACTTCAACTCCCAGAATTCCTGAGCCAGCATGGGGGAACTATGGCCCTTCATGACTGGTGGACTTCAACTCCCAGAATTCCTGAGCCATCATGGCTCAGCTTGGAAACCTCTCCCTTTCCCCTCAGCGTGGCTGGCTCAGGAATTCTGGGAGTTGAAGTCCACGAGTCATAAAAGAGCCAAGGTTGCCTCCGCCTGGTTTAGCCCAATGTTCTGACGTTGAGAAAGATTACTGGTCTTCAACTCCCAGAATTCCTCAGCCAGCCACACTGAGGGGAAAGGGAGAGATTTCCAAGCTGAGCCATGCTGGCTGAGGAATTCTGAGAGTTGAAGTCCACGAGTCATAAAAAGGCCAAGGTTGCCCACCCCTGCCTTAATTGCTTGCAGTCCTTCTATTGGGGTGTTGGCAAAGCTGGGCCGCTTGAAGACGGGTGGACTTCAATTCCCAGAATTCCCCAGCCAGCATTGCTGGCCGCTGCCATGCATTACAAGTGGAGTCCGTGCAATGCAGTGGGGATTTCTGGGAGCTGAAGTCATTTAAAGCTTGGACGTCAATGCCATCGGGAATTCTGGGTGTTGAAGGCCACCTGTCTTCAAGTGGCAAGCTTGGCCAGCACTACATAGCCAACTCTCTCCGTGGTACTACTTGTTGCAGCCCCTAAAAATTGAAGCCCCTTGTAGGATTGCATCTCTGTGCTTCATGTTCCTAATTCAGTTTCACCACTGGGGAGAGCCACTTTGAGCCCCTCCTGATGTATAGAGGGTAAAAAAGATGTCTTTGGTGGAGTTATGCCAGATCGATTCCCCAATAGACGAGGCGAGAAACATGACTCAAAACCAAAACAATTTAAAGCGACAAGGAAATTATTCAGATAGTCTTTGCCTTAGTTAGAGTAATGTGATATCAGTGTTTCAATATTTAAGGGGTTGCCCCAAAGAAGAGGGAGTCAAGCTATTCTCCAAAGCGCCTGAAGGTAGGACAAGAAGCAACGGGTAGAAACTAATCAAGGAGAGAAGCAATTTGGAACTAAGGAGAAATTTCCTGACAGAACAATTAACCAGTGGAACAACCTGCCTCCAGAAGCAGTAAATGCTCCAACACTGGAAGTTTTTAAGAAGAGACTGGACACCATTTGTCTGAAATGGTATAGGATTTCCTGCCTGAGTAGGAGGTTGAACTAGATGATCTCCAAAGTCCCTTTCAACTATTATTGTTGTTGTTATTCTCTGACCAAAAGGAAGCCAACTTTTCTTTCTTTTGTTTCTTTCAGAATGTTATGCAGACTTTTTGCGGGAAGACTTTGACGTCAAAGCCTATACCACCCAATCAATTCACCAGGCTATTATTGCTGAACAATTAGCAAAGCTTGCTCAAGGGATCAGCCAGTTAGATAAAGAGCTCCACTTGCAAGTAAGTACCGTTTGTATTACCACTTTAAAGATAGGCGTGAAATAAAAGTACGATAAGGGGATTGCTTTTGGTCTAAGATACGGATGGGCAGTGAGGTATCACAATTTGTGCACAGTTCCAAATTAACACACCTGTACTGTACATAGACATCCCATGATTATGGGATTGGCCCTTTTGAGACTGGCAAATGAGATGTGAAGCTAATCTTGCAGGTTATATTCATAAACCATGTTTTAGTATTTGGTTAGTATGAGTTCATTTTGAATGAAATATTAAGAGCAGTCTAGCGTTTTTCAGGAAGTCCTGCGTTTAGCATTGCAGATGGAAATCTTGAACAGAACGTGCAGAGCTGTGCTGCATCTTCTGCAAACATTACATTTTGACCACTCAGACATCAGATTCCATCCTAGTTGTCTGTCTCTGTCTTTCTGTCTAGCTGTGTATATATGTATCTTAGAATAGAATAGAGCTGGAAGGGACCTTGGAGGTCTTCTAGTCCAGCCCCTTGCTCAAGCAGGAGAACCTATACCATCTCGGACAGGTGAATTTCCAGTCTCTTCTTGAAACTCTCCAGTGATGGAGTGCCCACGATTTCTGGTGGCAAGCTGTTCCACTGGAAGTTTCTCCTTAATTCCAGGTTGCTTCTTTCTTTGATCAGTTGTTTCTTGTCTTTCCCTCTGGTGCTTTGGGGAATAATGTGACTCCCTCTTCTTTGTGGCAGCCCCTCAGATACTGGAAGACTGCTATCATGTCACCCCTATTTCTTCTTTTCTTTAGACTAGCCAAACCCAAGTCCCGCAGCCGTTCTTTGTATGTTTTAGTCTCCAGACCTTTGATCGTCTTAGTTGCTCTTCTCTGAATTTTTTTCCAAACTGTCAACATCTTTTTTGTGATACGGTGACCAAAATTGGCTGCAGTATTCCAGGTGTGGTCTTACTAGGGTTTTATAAAGCGGTAATAATACTTCGCGTGTTCTTGAGTCTATCCCTCTGTTTATACAATCCAGGATTGTGTTAGATTTTTTGGCTGCTGCTGCACACTGCTGGCTCATAGTCAAGTGATCATCCACTAGGACTCCAAGGTCCCTCTCACAGTTACTGTTTTTAAGCCAGGTCTTGCCCAATCTGTATTCGTGCCTTTGGTTTTTCCTGCCTAACTGTTAAGACTTTGCTTTTCTCCACATTGAAACTCAGTATCTATCTATTATCTGTCCGTCCATCCATTATCTATGTCTGTCTGTCTGTCTGTCTGTCTGTCTGTCTATCTATCTATCTATCTATCTATCTATCTATCTATCTATCTATCTACGTATCTATCTATCTATCTATCTATCTATCTATCTATCTATCTATCTATCTATCTACGTATCTATCTATCTATCTATCTATCTATCTATCTATCTATCTATCTATCTATCTATCTACGTATCTACCTACCTATCATCTAACTTCCTGCCTATTTATGTAGTTTACATAGTTTACATATGTTGCAAACATGAGTCTTGGGAGTTTACAATACAACAATTAAAAATAGGTCTAAAATAACACTTAAAAATAATACTTAAAAATAATCCAACATGAATATAAATGAAGGAGAATGGACCAATATCTTATACATAACACTACCACCTTGTAGGCTCCCTATTTCCATGGGATCTCCAAGCTTATTGGGAAATCCATAGTTTGAGAGGCCAATAGGGTCTCTTTTAACTACTTTTAAAATCTAAATTACTTTTTTAAGCTTCTGATTGATACTTTTCACTTTACAGGTAGTTGCGAGGCATGAGGACTTGCTGGCACAAGCAACTGGCATAGAATCTTTGGAAGGTAAGCAAGTTTTGTTTATTGGAAGCCTATGCCTCAGTATGCATCAGCCTTATGTTTTAAACCAGGCATGTCAATCTGCCGGCCCGCGGGCCGGATGCGTCACGTCGAAACCACACCCACCCCATTGCCGGCAACGAGGAGAAAAAGTCGCGATACATCGCGCGGTGTCACGTGACGTCACAAGTTTGACATGCCTGTTTGAAACCATTGTTTCTCAACCTTCCGAACTTTAAGCTGTGTGGACTTCAACTCCCAGAATTCCTCAGCCGGCAAAATTCTGGAAGTTGAGGTCCACACAGCTTCAAAGTTCACCAGATTGAGAAACACTTTGCTAAATCAGTCTCCAAAGTGGTATTTTTTTTTTTAGGTGTGTCATTTAGGGACTTGGTAAATAAAAAAATTACAAAAGTTTCAGTAGAGCAAAGCAATATGCATCCCCAATCAGTCCTCATAAATTGTATCTTAAATATCTAGATTAGGTGCGTGTTTTGTGTTCTATTAATGCATTAATGCAACACAGGCAGCCTGATGTTCAGAAAACGGTCGTAAGTGTGGAAAATGGTCATCCGTCCCTTTTTTCAGTGACTTATCTAACCACTAAACAATTGTCGTAAGTCGAGGACTACAACTCTGTTCTGGTTTTGGCCCCTTTTATACTTATTTATATTGCCAGCAGATGGAGCAGTTCTTAACCGATTTTCCACACCTAACTTTTCTGGCTGTGTGGAAATGTTCTATATAGAAAAGAACAGAGAAACAATAATATGCACAAGCAATCTATAATATAGATTTGGATAATGGCACTTTTTGTAAAATAAGAAAGCTCTTGTAATACATGAATTATAGTACATTGCAATATTAGGGACAGTGCAATGGTGAATAGAATGTGAAGGATGTGTGTATATAATGTATGTTCTTGTTTTGGTTTTTACTTGTGTGTAGTGTGCACTGTGGACAGCACTTAATTTTGTTGTAAGTTACAAAGTGGTGATAAAGATTATTCTATTCTATTCTATTCCATTCCATTCCATTCCATTCCATTCCATATTCTATTCCAGTGGTGGCGAACCTATGGCACGGGTGCCAGAGGCAGCACTCAGAGTCCTCTCTGTGGGCACACGCACCGTCGCCCCAGTCCTAGGCCTTCAGCTGGGTTTTATAAAACCTTTTCGCTTTAGGCCTCTGCCGCCGTGTGCAAAAAAAAAATAAAAATAGGTTCAACCAGTCAATTTCAACATCTTGCGAGAAAAAAAAAAGATCTTGCAAAGTTGAAATTGAGCCAATGGGCCATACCCAGCCAATGGGCCATACCCACCCGGCACTGGACAATGCATAAGTGGGTTTTGGGTTGCAGTTTGGGCACTCGGTCTCTAAAAGGTTCGCCATCACTGTTCTATTCCATTCCATATTCTATTCTATTCTAATCCATATTCTATTCTATTCTATTCTATTCTATTCTATTCTATTCTATTCTATTCTATTTCATATTCTATTCCATATTCTGTTCTGTTCTGTTCTATTCCATTCTATTCTTTCCATTCCACTCCATTCTATTCCATTCTTTTTCATCCGTTCTATTCCGTTCCATTCTATTCTCTTCCGTTCCTTCCCTTCTACTCCATTCCATTCTGTTCTTTCCATTCCTTCCCATCCCATCCCTTCTATTCTATTCCATTCTACTCCATTCTATTCATTCCATTCCATCCTTTCCTTTCCTTCTTTCCTCTCTCCACACTCCACATTCCAGGCTCCAGCTGTTTCAGCCTCCGAAATGAGCCAGTTTTCAGATTGAAAACTTTCAACAGCCTGGGAGACATATTAGGTGGCCAATCCCACTACATACACTTTCCATTCTGTTCAATAATGCACGATATTGAGTCTGGATCCTGTCTCCTTTATGTGTAAGTGACTAAGCATTGACAAATGTGTGGGCTGACACGTTTTTATTGCTTCATGTCCGTATGCTGAGCCTTCTCGGGTCCATATATAGAACTGGACTCCTACAGAAAAATGACTTTATACTTGCAGTAGCATCTGTAGCCTGAAAGGTACATCTGAAAAAAAAAATGCGTGAAAATGTTATAGCCTCATTGGGAGAAAATGAACCCAAAGGGTCTTTTGATAACTGAAAGCCGTATTAAAAAATGTTAGTGTTTTCCTCTTTTGCTTGAATGTATTTCCCCCCCCCCCAATTTGGAAAGATGTTTCTGCACGATTACTCGCTTTTTGAAAACCTGCTCTTATATAATTAACAGTGCTTCCCTTAAGAATCGCTTTCTTTTAAGTCATTTCAGAATTACTTTTAAGTAAAAAAAAGAAAGATCTTGACAGATTTCAGCATTGGGCCCTATCCAGCCGGATGCAGTTCAGTGGCGAGACAAGTTTATTTATTTATTTATTTGTTTATGGGACTTATATACCGCTTTAAGTGCAAGCACTCTCTAAGCGGTGTATACCAGTAAGCAATGTATATATATATTTACATTGCCCCCAACAATCTGGGTCCTCATTTTACCTACCCCGGAAGGATGGAAGGCTGAGTCAACCTTGAGCCGGTGAGATTTGAACCGCTGACCTGCTGAACACAGTCAGCTAAAGTGGCCTGCAGTACTGCACCCTAACTGCTGCTCTTAAAGTTAAAGTCCTGCACTTAGGCAGGAAAAATCAAATGCACAGAATACAGAATAGGTGATACCTGGCTCACCTGTACAGGTAGTCCTTTACTTACGGCCACAATTGAGCCCTAAAATTTCTGTTGTTAAGTGAGACATCTGTTAAGTGAGTTTTGCCCCATTTTACGACCTTTCTTGACACAGTTGTTAAGTGAACCACTGCAGTTGATGACAAATGGCCATCCTATCTCTTCTTAAAAACCTCCAGTGTTGGAGTATTCACCGCTTCTGGAGGCAGGTTGTTCCACTGGTTAATTGTTCTCACTGTCAGGAAGTTTCTCCTTAGTTCTAGGTTGCTTCTCTCCTTGATTAGTTTCCACCCGCTGCTTCTTGTCCTGCCTTCAGGCGCTTTGGAGAATAGTTTGACTCCCTCTTCTTTGGGGCAGCCCCTTAGAGATTGGAACAAATCTAGTCCCTATACTATTTCAGACAAACGGTTGTCCAATCTCTTCTTAAAAACCTCCAAGGTTGGAGCCCTGAAACTTCTGGTGGCAAGCTGTTCCACTGGTTAATTGTCCTCACTGTTAGGAAGTTTCTCCTTAATTCCAGGTTGCTTCTCTCCTTGATGACTTTCCATCCATTGTTTCTTGTTCTGCCTTCTGATGCTTTTTATATTAACTTAGCAGGTCATTTAATGGTGCTTTTATATTAACTATAAACTTAGCAGGTCATTTAATAGCAGAGGACCATTTTTTTGGCTTAATCTAAAGACTACAGGCCAAAACATATAAGGAACGGTTGCTGGAATTGGGCGTGTCCAGTTTAATGAAGAGAAGGACGAGGGCTGACATGATAGCAGTCTCCCAGTATCTCAGGGGCTGCCCCAAAGCAGAGGGAGTCAAGCTATTCTCCAAAGCACCTGAAGGCAGGGCAAGAAGCAACGGATGGAAACTCATCAAGGATAGAAGCAGCCTAGAACTAAGGTGAAATTTCCTGACAGTGAGAACAATTAACCAGTGGAACAGCCTGCCTCCAGAAGCGGTGAATGCTCCAACACTGGAAGTTTTTAAGAAGAGACTGGACAGCCATTTGTCTGAAACGGCATAGGGTTTCATGCTTGAGCAGGGGGTTGGACTAGATGACCTCCAACTATTATTATTATTATTGTTGTTGTTGTTGTTATTATTATATCATTATTTATTAAGTCTAGCAGTTTGCTCCCAAGGCAATCAGCTTGATGCCAACAGCGGTGTTTTTCAGTTTTGGCAACTTTTAAAGTATGTGGACTTCAACTCCCAGAATTCCTCAGCCAGCACTGACCTGTCAGAAAGCAAACGTAAGCACAGTCCACTAACATTTGTTAAATACCATATCCTTTTCATCTGGTAACTGGTTGAGGATTGCTGTAGGCATTGGATGGTTTTCCTCTTAATGGAGAGCTTTAAAAATTCTGGATTATCCTTCAGGCTTTAGATTCTGAGCTGCGGGTTTTGAACAGACCAACCGCGCAGGATTTAGCTTCTCCTGTTATGTCCTCATTCCAGATTCAGCGGCTGAATATTTTCCCTCACATAAAGGAGATGCACACAACGCTTGGATTCTTAATGCAGGAGTGTTTACCTGGATAGTCAGCTTCCAGGGCTGCTGAGACACTGTTTAAAAAAAAAAAAAAAGGAATAAATTTAGAAAGCATCCTATTCCTCAGCTGTACATCTCGTCGATTTTACAATGCATCCCATGATTTTATTTCCGGAATGTATTTACAGTGGGATTTGGGGCGATTAAATCTAATCAGCTTGCTATTATATTTGGTTGCATCACCCCCAGCAGGGATTCTGGTGACACAGGAACAGTTCTGGGTGCTCTGATCCTGGAATGTAAACCAAGTGGGTCGTAGCAACCAGGTAGGCAGATTAATCCTTTCAATCACCTATTTTCATCTTCATCCATTGGACGGATACCTTCCCCTCGCCCGTGAGATCCTACCGCCCCTTCTCTTTCTGTCAAAGTTGGACCCGCACCCTGAAAGCAAAGCTTTGTAAAATACAAGCATCATTATCATCATCATCATCAAGTTGGAAGAGAGCTAGGAGGTCATCTAGCTCAGGCAGGAAACCCTATACCAGGGCTAGGCAACCTTGGCTCTTTTATGGCTCGTGGACTTCAACTCCCAGAATTCTTGAGCCAGCCACGCTGAGGGGAAAGGTAGAGTTTCCAAGCTGAGCCATGCTGGCTCAGGAATTCTGGGAGTTGAAGTCCACAAGTCAGAAAGCGGCCTAGGCCAGAAGTAGGCAACCTTGGCTCTTTTATGACTCGTGGACTTCAACTCCCAGAATTCCTGAGCCAGCCATGCTGAGGGGAAAGGGAGGGGTTTCCAAGTTGAGCCATGCTGGCTGAGGAATTCTGGGAGTTGAAGTCCACGAGTCATGAAGGGGCCATAGTTCCCCCATGCTGGCTCAGGAATTCTGGGAGTTGAAGTCCGCAAGTCTGAAAAGTTGCCAAGGTTGAGGACCCCTGATATAGGACAGGGGTAGGTAACCTTGGCTCTTTTCTGACTCGTGGACTTCAACTCCCAGAATTCCTGAGCCAGTCATGCTGAGGGAAAAGAGAGAGGTTTCGAAGTTCAGCCGTGCTGGCTCAGGAATTCTGGGAGTTGAAGTCCACCAGTTATAAAAGAGCCAAGGTTGCCTACCCCTGCCCTATACCATTTTAGACAAATGGCTGTTCGGTCTCTTCTTAAAAAACTTCCAGTGTTGGAGCATTAACAGCTTCTGGAGGCAGGTTGTTCCACTGGTTAATTGTTCTCACTGTCAGGAAGTTTCTCCTTAGTTCCAGGTTGCTTCTCTCCTTGTTTAGTTTCCCTCCGTTGCTTCTTGTCCTGCCTCCAGGTGCTTTGGAGAATAGCTTGACCCCCCCCCTCTTCTCTATGACAGCACCTCAAATATCCCATCATTACCATCAATTGTCCTTGAAGATAATTCAAGGCACGGGGTCCAGTGAACGACAGCGGCCTTTCAGCTTGATTCCTCCCCCTTTTCCTGCCTCCTCCATCCCTCGGGAAAGGATCCTCAGTGTCTTTTTGACCTAATGCGTACTGTGGATTTTTTTTTTCTTTTGCAGATTTTAAATTGCTTGTAAGCTGCTTTAGAAGATTCTTATCCTTAAAAGCAGGCTATAAATAATGGCCTTAAGTAGAAATGCAGTGTTAGCTGTGTGATTAACACCTGAGTCCCACAAATCTTTTAAGTTTTGACATTAAGCCCAGGAAAGCTTCTGAGCTTCTCGTTGGGTTACTTTGTGGAAGGGACCTTGGAGGTCATCTAGTCCAACCCCCTGCTCAGGCAGGAAACCCTACACCATTTCAGACAAATGGCTGTCCAGTCTCTTCTTAAAAACTTCCAGTGTTGGAGCATTTACTGCTTCTGGAGGCAGGCTGTTCCACTGATTAATTGTTCTCACTGTCAGGAAGTTTCTCCTTAGTTCTAGGTTGCTTCTCTCCTTGATTAGTTTCCACCGTTGCTTCTTGTCCTGCCTTCAGGTGCTTTGGAAAATAGCTTAATTCCCTCTTCTTTATGGCAGCCCCTGAGATATTGGAACACAGCTATCATGTCCCCCCTCGTCCTTCTCTTCGTTAAACTAGACATACCCAATTTTAGCAACCGTTCCTTATATGTTTTAGCCTCCAGTCCCCTAATCATCTTTGTTGCTCTTCTCTGTACTCTTTCTAGAGTCTCAACATCTTTTTTACATCGTAGTGACCAAAATTGGATGCAGTATTCCAAGTGTGGCCTTACCAAGGCCTTGTAAAGTGGTATTAATACTTCACGTGATCTTGATTCTATCCCTCTGTTAATACAGCCTAGCACTGTGTTAGCCTTTTTGGTAGCTGCAGCACACTGCTGGCTCATATTTAGGTGATTGTCTACTACAGTGGTTCTCAACCTGTGGGTCAGGACCCCATTTGGGGTCGAACGACCATTTCACGGGGGTCGCCAAACAACGCAGTCCGCCATTTTTTCCCCCTTTTCCTTAGCTGTGCTACTCCCTTTTATTCTATTGGCTTTTGAAAGCCAATAGAATAGACTCTCTTGAATAGAGTCTAATTCTATTGGCTTTCAAAAGCCGATAGGAATTGTCCAGGCTGTCTCTGCCCTGCTGAGCCCGCCAAAAGTCCCATTCTGCAAACGGTGCTGCACCAGTTGAGTAGTCCTCGACTTACGACAGGTTGAGTAGTCCTCGACTTACGACCGGTTGGGGGGGGTCGCAGCATTAAAAAGGTTGAGAACCACTGGTCTACTAGGACTCTGAGGTCCCTCTCACAGTTACTACTATTGAGCATGGTGCCACCTTGACTTACGACCGCAATGAAGCACTATGGCTAAGCAAGGCCGTTAAGTGAGTTTTACCCCGTTTTACGACCTGTCTTGCCACAGTGGTTGTGAATCCCTGCAGTTGTGAAGTTAGTAACACAGTTGTTAAGTGAATGTGGCTTCCCCCGTTGACTTTGCTGGTCAGAAGGTCACAAAAGGGGATCACGTGACCCCAGGACGCCACAACCGTCATAAGTACGAGTCAGTTGCCAAGCCTCTGAATTTTGATCACGTGACTTCGGGGGATGCTGCAACGGTCGTTAGTCTGAAAAACGGGTCGTAAGTCACTTTTTTCAGTGTCGTTGTAACTTTGCTCCCTAAATGAACCGTCGTAAGTCTGGGGCTACCTCTGTTATGAATTCTGCAATTTCCTAACGTATTTTAAGTTCTTTTTCCTCAACTGGAAAGGGGAAAAAAAAAAGAAAGAGCAGCTTTTCTCTCACGGTGAAGCAGTTATTTTGATCTGCTCCTCTGTCTTTTGCGCAGGTGTCCTTGAAATGATGCAGACCAGAATCAGCGCCCTGCAGAGCACTGTTGAGAGGTATGTCATGTTGTTTGGAAGTTTTTACATTCTTCTGCATCGCTCTGGTTTCTAAAACACGGCTCCTTTTTCCGTTAGGATCAAAGCCAAAATTATTGATCCCTACAATAAAATCGTATCCCGCACAGCACAGTTAGCCAGGCTTCAGGTAAGTTATTCTCTCTTCTCGTTCTCCAGCAATGCTCCTCCTCCTCCTCCTTCTTCTCCTTCTTCTCCTCCTTCTTCCTCTTTTTCTCCTCCTCCTCCTCCTTCTTCCTCTTTTTCTCCTCCTCCTCCTCCTCCTTCTTCTCCTTCTCTTTCTTCCTCTTTTTCTCCTCCTCCTCCTTCTTCTTCTCTTCTTCTTCTCCTTCTCCTTCTTCCTCTTTTTCTCCTCCTCCTCCTTCTCCTCCTTCTTCTCCTTCTCCTCCTTCCTCTTTTTCTCCTCCTCCTCCTTCCCCTTCTTCTTCTCCTCCTTCTTCCTCTTTTTCTCCTCCTCCTCCTCCTTCTTCTCTTCTTCTTCTTCTTCTTCTTCTTCTTCTTCTTCTTCTTCTTCTTCTTCTTCTTCTTCTTCTTCTTCTTCTTCTTCTTCTTCTTCTTCTTCTTCTTCTCCTTCTTCCTCTTTTTCTCCTCCTCCTCCCCCTCCTTCTTCTCCTCCTTCTTCTTTTTCTCCTCCTCCTCCTCTTCCTCTTCCTTCCCTTTTGGCTCCTTCTTCTCCTTCTTCCTCTTTTTCTCCTCCTCCTCCTCCTTCTTCTCTTCTTCTTCTTCTCCTCCTTCTCCTTCTTCCTCTTTTTCTCCTCCTCCTTCTTCTCCTTCTTCTCCTTTTTCTCCTCCTCCTCCTTCTTCTCTTCTTCTTCTCCTCCTTCTCCTTCTTCCTCTTTTTCTCCTCCTCCTCCTTCTCCCTCTTTTTCTCCTCCTCCTTCTTCTCCTCCTTCTTCTCCTTCTCCTCCTTCTTCCTCTTTTTCTCCTCCTCCTTCTTCTCTTCTTCTTCTTCTCCTTCTCCTCCTTCTTCCTCTTTTTCTCCTCCTCCTCCTTCTTCTCTTCTTCTTCTTCTTCTTCTTCTTCTTCTCCTTCTCCTTCTTCCTCTTTTTCTCCTCCTCCTCCTCCTCCTCCTTCTTCTTTTTCTCCTCCTCCTTCCTCTTCCTCTTCTTCTTCCTCTTCTTCTTCTCCTTCTCCTTCTTCCTCTTTTCCTCCTCCTCCTCCTCCTCCTCCTCCTCCTCCTCCTCTTCCTTCCCTTTTGGCTGCGAAATAGTATTTTGAAGAGCTGCAGAGCAATCACGAGAGGAACAGATGTGAAGGGTTTTTTAGAACAGTGTTTGCAACTTCCAGATCGGAGTGAATTAATGATGGACACAGATAACCGGATGGTTTCCTGGATGGCTCTACAGGGTTGCTATAGTTACTTGTTGAAAAGGAAAACACTCCCAGAATAAATAATTAAAATCATTGCATAAGAATGGTGAACATTTAAAAAAAAAAAAAAATCCTCCCGGGCTGGAGGGGGGGGGAACCTAAATGCAAGCAGAAAGGAATTTTACGTGGGAAAATTTGTAAAGTACATTTACATATTTTGTTCAGAGCCTTTCCACATGCTTTTCAAAGTCCTTTTGGCACTTTGGCTTGCCTCATTTTAAATCTGCCTATTTGCAACTTCAGTTTAGAATTTTCTTCTTGTTCCTCACTTCCCAAGAATTGCAAATAAAATGCCATTTTCGGGGCTTCACGGAAACCAAATGGAAAATAATATTTAGCATTGTGGACATCCACTGAGAACTTTTTTTAAACCTGACATAATATTTAAAAAATTGCTGGGTGTCAATCATCGTTAATTATTGACAGGTTGTGGGGTTTTTTGTTTTGGTCAAAAAATCCCCGGTATCTCAGAATTAATGTTTTCTCCATCTTCATGCTATTATATTGTGATTCGTGGACATAACTATCACTTTTTTCCAGCCCTAGCAGTAGACTGTAGTAAGGAGTGGGAAGTAAGCCTTATAAGAAGAAGCATTATTATTTCTTTATGTACAGGTAGGTTTTAAGAAGAGATTGGACAACCATTTGTCTGAAATGGTAATAGGGTTTCCTGCCTGAGCAGGGGGTTGGACTAGATGGCCTCCAAGGTTCCTTCCAACTTTTCTGTTCTGTTTTCTATTCTATTCTATTCTATTCTATTCTATTCTATTCTATTCTATTCTATTCTATTCCATTCCATTCCTTACCTGTAGTAAGGAGTAGGAAGTGGGCTTTATAAAAAGACCCATTATTTCTTTCTGTACCCTCTAAGTTCCGCTGTCTTTTTCTTTAGCGTTTTTAAAAACTCTAGGCCTCCTTGATATTTTCCCCAAGATAGCCTTAAAGCGATCATGGTGATTAAACTGAGCAAAATTGACAAACTTTGACATTTCAGGCTTGTACAACAAGCTCAACACAATTGTATTTTCCCCTTATCCGTCCAACTGCATCAAGCATTGACAGAGCATTTAACAATAGCTCTGTCCTAACATTTTATTTTGCTTGATCGACTCCTTGACGTCTATTTGCTTGTAAGAACCTCGGAAAGCTGTAATATGTATTCCTCACCAAACCTGCAGCAGCCTCCCTGTTTAACGACGAAGAGCATTTTTCATTGATCCCATTCTAGGCTGCATCAACAATGAGTTAAAGTAAAATTATGGTGTTTCCTTTCCCAGGTGGCCCTTGACTTATACGTCGACACTAAACAGTTCGTTTAATGCAGTGGTTCTCAACCTGTGGGTCGGGACCCCATTTGGGGTCGAACGACCATTTCACGGGGGTCGCCAAACAAGGCTGTCCGCCATTTTTTCCCCCCTTTTCTTTGGCCACGCCCCTGGCACCCGGTGATGTATAAGTGGTTGGGGGTCACCACAACACGGGGAACTGTATTATGGGGTCGGGGCATTAGAAAGGTTGAGAACCACTGGTTTAATGACTGTTCAAAGTCGCAACGGCACTGACAAATGTGACTTAGGGCCATTTTTCTCGCTTAATGACCATTATGGTCACATGATGAAAATCTAGATGCTTGGCATCTGACCCGTATTTATGACGGTTTGCCGCGTCCCGCGGTCACGTGATCCCCTTTTGCGCCCTTCAGACAAGCAAAGTCAATGGGGAAGCCAGTTGCAACGGCAGCGGTTCACTTAACAAGAAAAGGTCTTAAAGTGGGGCAAAATGTACTTAACCAATGTCTTACTTAACGACAGAAATTGTGCGCTCAGTTGGGGTCATAAGGCAGGCACCACCTATACTTCCCTTTCTCACGTCCCACAGGAGGCTACATTAACTGAAAGATCAGTGAAGCATGTTAAAAAAGATAGAAAACCTGGATGAAACCAGAGAGAGTATTTTAGGTAAATGTTAGGTACAAAAATAAAAAATAAAAATAGGCCTCTCTTTTCTTCGTGTTGTTTTCCTAGCCAGATTGTTTGTTTGGCTGTTGATATGCCAGGTTTATGATACCAGAACCGCTGATTCTCTTTGGCCTTTGAAGGGCCAAAATTCTCATATGAACCAGCAGACTGTATAGAAATAATAATAATAATAATAATAATAATAGTAATAATAGAGGTGGAAGGGATCATGGAGATCATCTAGTATTCTAGGGGTAGACACCTTGGTTCTTTCATGACTCATGGACTTCAACTCCCAGAATTCCTGAGCCAGCCATGCTGAGGGGAAAGGAAGAGGTTTCCAAGCTGATCCATGCTGGTTCAGGAATTCTGGGAGTTGAAGTCCACAAGTCATAAAGCGGCCTAGGCGTAGGCCAGAGGTAGGCAACCTTGACTCTTTTATGACTTGTGGACTTCAACTCCCAGAATTCCTGAGCCAGCAACGCTGAGGGGAAAGGGAGAGGTTTCCAAGTTGAGCCATGCTGGCTCAGGAATTCTGGGAGTTGAAGTCCACAAGTCATGAAGGGCCCATAATTTCCCCATGCTGGCTCAGGAATTCTGGGAGTTGAAGTCCACGAGTCATAAAAGAGCCAAGGTTGCCTACCCTTGATCTAGTCCAACCTCCTGCTCAGGCAGGAAAAACTATACCATTTCAGACCAATGGCTGTCTAGTCTCTTCTAAAAAACTTCCAGTGTTGGAGCATTCACCGCTTCTGGAGGCAGGTTGTTCCACTGGTTAATTGTCCTAGCTGTCAGGAAGTTTCTCCTTAGTTCTAGGTTGCTTCTCTCCTTGGTTAGTTTCCATCTGTTGCTTTTTGTCCTGCCTTCAGGTGCTTTGGAGAATAGCTTGACTCCCTCTTCTTTGGGGCAGACCCTGAGATACTGGAAGACTGCTATGATGTCCTCCCTCGTCCTTCTCTTCATTAAACTAGACATACCCAATTCCAGCAACCATTCCTTATATGTGACTAAAAGCAGCTAACGAAATTCTGCTTTTAGAATAATTTTATAGCTGGAATCTTTTAAGTGCCTGCATTTCAAGCCGTTGCATCTTTGAGAAGGCGAATGTATCAGATATAAAAACATGTAGGAAAGATCAACCCACTTCATTCACCTAATTTGTAGAATTCAAATGCACCCATCTTGGAAAACACAATAGAATGTAATTCTTGCATAGTTCACTTTCCATATTCCTGCTGTTTTCCCATCCTTTATGTGACCGGTATGTTTTACACATCCTTGGCCAGCTTAATTACTCAAATTTAAATTACATACAAAGGAGAAAATGGTTTGCCTTAAATAACGGATTAAAATTATGATGTTAATTACCATAGAAGGAAATCCCTCTGCTAATAATTGCATATTTATTCAGTGGTGTAACAATTAAAATGTACTGGTTTGGAACTAAATAGAGCCATTATGGCATCGAGGAACATAATCCAAATCCTCTCGTTGTGTAGTTCACAGGTCTTGTACACTGAATGGGTTTAGAACCGCAATTATACTCTGAATGATTTATACTGGTGTCTCTATACACATAATTAAAGTCATTAAGCAAGTTCATTTAGCTGAAGATTTAATAGCAGAAAGCTAGTTGGGTCCCACTTCTCCCTGACATGTATTTGAAAGTCACGCTACGCTAGTAATTGATGAACAAGCTCTGGGTTTTAAAGTATTGCTCCAAGGAATAAATTGGAGGCATCCACCATGGTTTGGTATTTGGAGTGTGGTGTTTCATCTCTTCAGTTTAATCTTGAAATTGTGTGTGTGTGACGCGCACAACATAAGATCAGGCTGAGATTTCTGATCCTGACCACTTTGGATGAACTAATCCTGGTTGAGATGAAATCGGAAACTGATTAGCAAAGACTGCTATGCTGTTGGTCTCCTGGTGAATGAGGAAAGGAAGGGAAGGGAAAGGATGGGAAAGGAAAGGAAGGGAAAAGCAAAAGGAAACAGAATGAAAACAGAAACGGGAATAATCACAAACACAGGCTTCAGCAATGTTTCCTTCCTTCTCAAGGCTGCCTGCGACTTGCTGAGGAGAATAATACGGATCTTGTACCTCAGCAAGAGACTTCAAGGCCAACTTCAGGGTGGAAGCCGGGAGATCACCAAAGCTGCTCAGAGTCTCAATGAACTCGGTGAGTCCAGCGGGATCGTTTTTAAGATCACGGGTTTGTTGATTGGGAGGGTTTTCCCCTCAGACATAAATCATGACTGACTCGAGGTTGTCTAAAGCGGAGGCATAGACGCGAAAGAAGGTGAAGTAGGGGCACCACCTTATAAAGCCTTTGTAGGGCCACACCTGGAGTACAGCATCCAGTTGAGGTCACCACATCACAAAGAAGAGGTGACCTTTCCTGCCACGGTTACGAAGTGAATCACCGCCGTTGTTAAATTAGTAACACGGTTGTTAAGTGAATCTGACTTTGGTTCTCAGAAGGTCGCAAAAGGGGATCACGTGACCCCCACGGGACACGGCGACCGTCATTTATTTATTTATTTAATTTATTTATATGCCGCCCAATCCCAAAGGACTCAGGGCGGCGTACAAAATTAAAACAATCATCGAGAATAAAACAATAAAATAATACAATCATACCGCAAGTCCGATCATGTCCCAACCCCCCCCGGGGACATCAGCCCCAGGCCTGCCGGAACAGGAGAGTTTTAACGGCTTTCTTAAAGGCTGGTCATAAATATGAACCAGTTGCCGGGCGTCTGGATTTTGCTTGTGTGACCACGGGGATGGTATAACGGTCGTAAGCATGAAAACGGGCCTTAAGTCACTTGTTCAATGCCACCGTAGCGGTCATTAAAAGAACGGTTGTAAGGTGAGAACTACCCGTGCCTACAATTTTTTTTTTTAAAAAAAGAAAAATCATGTAAAGTACTTTAGGTAACAACAGTACAGAATTTCCTCCGCACAAAGACTCATCTTTGTCAGTTGCTCAGCTCCAGTTGGCCTTCATTTTAACTGGGGATTATTGATGTGGTGTCACTGAAAACTGGCAGCTCCGCACTGATTAGAATTGCAAGTGTGTCTTTTTGTCGCTTGTTCTGTGGCAAAAGAATGATTGAAAAAACCTTGGATCAGAAGTTAATGTGTCCGACGCAGGGGATGGTGTTGAATTGTAAACTTTAAAACTCGAGTGTAACGAGAAAGCCAAGGGACTCTGTGTTTGCAACAAATCAAAGTAATGGTCTTAAATCAAGTTAATCCTGGGGTGATACCAATTTGGAGTGAATGGTGAAGGGAGTAATATTAAATGTGCATTGCTTGCTGGCTTTTTTTCTGGTCCCGCAAATCTATTTGATAGGCTTTGGGGAAAACGTTGCTCCTTGATGGTGCAATTTTATACAAATTAACTAAAATTTTAATTTTCCTCTAAAAGTCTTTAAAAGGGCTTTACTTATTCTAAATAATGAATAGCTGCTTAGTCACTGCTCTGTTGAAAGGGAATTAGGGTTGTCTAGTTTTAGCTTTTAGATCAGTGGTTCTCAACCTTTTTAATGCCGCGACCCCCAACTGGTCGTAAGTCGAGGACTACTCAACTGGTCGTAAGTCGAGGACTACTCAACTGGTGCAGCACCGTTTGCAGAATGGGACTTTTGGCGGGCTCAGCAGGGCAGAGACAGCCTGGACAATTCCTATTGGCTTTTGAAAGCCAATAGAATTAGACTCTATTCAAGAGAGTTATTCTATTGGCTTTCAAAAGCCAATAGAATAAAAGGGAGTAGCACAGCTAAGGAAAAGGGGGAAAAAATGGCGGACTGCGTTGTTTGGCGACCCCCGTGAAATGGTTGTTCGACCCCAAATGGGGTCCCGACCCACAGGTTGAGAACCACTGTTTTAGATTGTCTCAAAACAAACTTTTAATATGGATATTTTGTCTTCGTCAGAATAGAATTTGTTCTTGAACTTTGGACTTTTGAAAATGGAAGCAAAGGCACTCTTGCTCATTAATCAATCAATCAATCAGAGAGTTGCTAGAGCATACAGTATGCAATTTTTCCTTAGATCTCATAATTTACTACATTTAATGAAAGAATATTGTTCTTTCAACCACTGTCTCTCCTTCCTTGTGAAAAACATAAACATCTTTATTTATTTTTCTTTCACCCTCTTACAAAATAATTTACTCATGATATCACGGGGGGTATCGGGGCATCCAGAGAGTTTAAAAAAAAAGTCAAGATGCTATAAAAAGCTCAGCTGCCATCTTGATTTTTTTTTTTTTAACCATATCCCATGGATACTGATCAGCTCATCCTATGAATGTGCCATCAATTTTGTTCCTGGCACTTTTCCTTAAGAAAGATTAGCACGGAAATGAAATTGACAGCCTTCAATGTTTTCTAATGGAGCATCTGTGGAATATGATCACCGCTTTCTTTGAACTAGTTCACGTTTTTTTAAAAAAAAAAGAAAAAAGAAAGAAAATTGGGCTTTGGTTTCCCCAGTTGCAATGTATGGCTGGACCCTAAGAAAGGCCGAGCGACAAAGAATGGAGGCCTTTGAACTCTGGTGCTGGAGAAGACTCCTGCGAGTCCCCTGGACTGCAAGGCGATCCAACCGGTCAGTCCTAGAGGAGATCAACCCCGACTGCTCTTTAGAAGGCCAGATCCTGAAGTTGAAACTTAAGTCCTTTGGCCACCTAATGAGAAGGAAGGATTCACTGGAGAAGAGCCTGATGCTGGGAAAGATGGAGGACAAGAGAAGAAGGGGACGATAGAGAATGAGGTGGCTGGATGGAGTCACTGAAGCAGCAGGCGTGAGCTTAAATAGACTCCAGAAGATGGTAGAGGACAGGAAGGCCTGGAGGAACGTGGTCCATGGGGTCGCGATGGGTCGGACACGACTTCGCAACAAACAACAACACTATCTGACCAGATCCATGTGTGTAGAGTTCAAGCTACTACTTCATTGCATTCTGCCTATAATACAGGAATCTTCCCGATCTTTCGGGAATTAACTAGGAGAACATTTTAGGCTAGTACAGGTAGCCCTCTACTAACACACTTTAGCCTAACATTTCCGTTGCTAAGTGAGACAGTTGTTGATTTTTTTTGCCCCATTTTACAACCTTTCCTGCCATAGTTGTTGAGTGAATCACTGCAGCTGCCAAGTTAGTAACGCGGTTGTGAAGTAACTCTGGCTGGCCCGTTGACTTTGCTTGGCAGAAGATCGCAAAAGGGGATCAGGTGACCCCCCCCCTTGGGACGCTGCGACCGTCATAAATATGAACCGGTTGCCAAGCGTCTGAATTTTAATCACAGTGGTCGTAATCCGGAAAACAGTCCCAAGTCACTTTTTCCAGTGCTGTCGTAAGCTCAAACGGTCACTCAACAAATGGCTGTAAATTGTGAACTACTTGTAACAGTTACCCAGCAAACATATTTGCAAAGCTGCAAGGCTGGGCTCTTTGAGAATAAAACTTGTAAGCTGTGGCTTAGTTGTGTGATTAAATTATGCATCTGAGTGCAGCTTGACAGCCTAGAACAGTGATGGCGAACCTTTTAGAGACCGAGTGCCCAAACCGCAACCCAAAACCCACTTATTTATCGCAAAGTGCCAGGGCCGCATCAGCATTGTGGTGCTCTCATGGCGGGGGCAGGGAGGCGCCTCTGAGTGCCACCTCTGGCATGCAAAAAACGGGAGCGCAAAAATGGGCCACCGTGCTGCAAGGCGCAAAAACGGCCGTGCCGTGGGGTGCAGACACAAGGCGCTGCACCATGCAAGAATGGGGCAGAGCTAGTGAGTATCACGCAGGCACTAGCCCCGGCCCATTTGCAGCACGTGTGTGCTCGCGGCCCCGTGCACGCATGCATGCATGTAAAATGCTTCCCCCTCCCTTTTCTTCCAGTCCACCAATCAACAATGGTTGGTGACCTCTGTTCTACCACCTCTACTCAAGCTTGCTAGTTGGCCGCTTCGCCTCCTTTGTGCTGGGTGGGGCTCCTGCTCTGGGCGGCAGTGGTGGCCTGAGGCCTGCCTCTGGCACGCGTGCCAGAGGTTCTCCACCCCTGGCCTAGAACATAAATAGCTATGTATCTCGCTAAGGCTATCGTTAAGATGTTTGTAAGCCTATCGTTCCCTGCCCTTGTCTTAGAGTAACTGGAATTTCTGATTTGTGATTCTCAACTATAATTCCAGCCAAATTTTTCCTAATTAACCGAGCACCACCAGTTGCTACAGTGGATGCTCTTGCTGGTCCCTTGTGGAAAGCCAGCTGGGTGACATTGAGTCAGTCACTGGGAGATTGTGAATTCTAGTCCTGCCTTAGCCCTGAAAGCCAGCTGGGTGACATTGGGTCAATCACCAGGAGATTGTGAATTTTAGTCCTGCCTTAGCCCTGAACGCCAGCAGGATACAAATGAATAAATATGATTAATATGGAAAAGTAGCCAAACACCTTTGGCATTTCTTGTTGTCTTGGACTGAGGTTTTTAGATTTGACAAAACATTTTGGCCTTATCAACTCCAATTTGGCTTAGGAATATGAACAAGCAGTTTAGCAGTGTATAAAAAATCACATTTCTGGATCGAAACATTGATATATATATATATAAGCACTTGAAGAATCCTTTAAAACACGTAAGCAGTAGATAAATTCATTCCTGTTACCCAAACAGAAATTTAGGAAGAATTAAAAATAATTACAATTTAGAAAATTCTTACTTGTACAGCAGTCTTTCACTTATTTAAAATCAAACTTCTCTCAGGCTGACTTTTATATAGGTATAAACCCCCCCCCTCATAATACCCTTTTGATGAAAATTATTTGTAAAAGCATATATTGTGGCTCCAAATAATAGTGTGCCTTGAACTCACAAAGCTGCTGGTAATTACTTGGGACACGTAGCTTATAATTTTAGGCTTACAACTATAGTTGAGAAAAATTTCAATTCATTATCAGACACCCGAATATTGTGCCAAAACAGGGCAGCTAATAAGCCTTAACCGGTGCGCGCTATTTCTCTGGCCCAAATTTTAAAAACAAAGTTTTACATATTTACAGCAAAATAGACATTTTTTGAAAAGTGACCACTATTTTAAGGCTTTTCTTGTTAGAAAATATTTACTTAAATGTATATTAGAGGACAGAGTATTGACAAAATATAACCATGGTTTTACGCTTAACAAACCGCCATGCAACACACATTTTTGAATAATGAGGAAATAAATACACAGCTCTGATCTGTTTAAATGCATTTTTCAAACCATTACAGTCCGGTTTAATGTTTTCTCTCCCTTTAAAAAAAAAAAAAAACTCTGTATTTGGCAGTCGTGGTTTATCCTTGACTCCCCCCCCCCTTAAAATAATCCTGTGGATACCGGAATCTAGTCCGTAACGACTTGAGGTACTAAACACTTCTGCCTCACTTCATTGTCTTCAAAAGTGATGGCCTTGCTTCTCTTGGGCTCAATCCATGAGTTGTGTATCACAGCGCTGTTGGGAATTGGGTCAGCTTCCACTATGGAGACGACGCGTTTTTTCATTTTGCTTTTCAAAACTTTTTGAAATTTCTGTCGGGTGAAGGCGTACAGAAGAGGGTGGAAGATGGTGGTCCCGTAGGCCATGACTAGAAAACACAGCCTCAGCTTGACCAAAAGGTCACTTGGGCCCGAACATAAAATGATTGTGTTTAAAACGGTGATCGGTGTCCAACAGAGAACAAAAGTTGATATGATTAACAGCGACATGCGGAAGACTCTTTTCTGCCTTTCGCGGCGTTCCCGGTGTCTCTTGACCGCCCGCCGTAGAGCGATGATCACCGAAACGGAAGTCCTTACCCCAAAGACCACGTTTCTGCCTCTGCTGGCTTGCGACGTTTCGGTGGGTTCCTGTTGCGTAGCCAAGGAAATGGTCTTCTTTTTGGCTTTTTTCTTCTGCCCCGTGGAAAACCGCGTGCCTATTCGGATGTTCAGGGCCTGAAGTATTTTGCTGTAGGTAATGAACATCACTACCACCGTGAAGAAGAAGATGGGGATTTGCACCAACAGGTGATAGTACATGCCCAGTTCTGTGTGGTATTCATTGGCACTGACGCACAACAGCGTCTTGTTTTCCCAAGTGTTGGCCCTATGGAAGCTGAAGAAGTTGACCTCAATGAAGGGGATCAAGAAGGAGAAAAAAGAGATGATCCAGATGGACGTCATGAGGATCACAGCCCTTCCCATCGTCAAGATCCGGTTTGCGGGCTTCACAGAGATGTCGTAGCGGTCCAGAGTGATGGCGAAGACGTTGATGGCAGTGGACACGCTGGCAAAAGACACGCAGGCCTCGTGGAAGCAGCAGACCAGCGCAGAATTGTTCTCCAGGGGGAGCAGAAGGATGACGATCGTCAGAGGAATGCACCCCATGCAAATGATGACGTCGAGAACGTGGAGGTTCATGGTAATAATATTACTGACCGAGTTGATTAAATTGGATTTCAAACAGTAAAGTACTAATACGGTGAGGTTGCTGCCAAGCCCTAGGACAATTTCCAACATCAGGAATCCGGTGAGGGAAACTTGAAAGCTCAGCGGGTAAGACAGTGGCTGGTACATATTGGAGTCTGTGTCCCTGATGGCATCTCGAACAGTAATGTTAGATTCAGACGGCATGTTGGCTTCTGGGACGGAAGAGAAACACATCCTTTCTCGGAAGTTTCTTTTGCTCTGAAAGAAGAGAGAGAAGTTAGGAAGCGAATTGATGTGAGATGCGCTCTCTCTCTCTCTCTCTCTCTCTCTCTCCCTCTCTCTCTCTCTATTTTGCTTGTCTGCAGAAAATAATTTCTTTAGTTTCGCCAGCAGATATACAGTGGCTACCTGGTTTCAGAAATTAGAGATGGTACAAAAGAAGCAGGACAAGAAGCAACGGGTGGAAACTAATCAAGGAGAGAAGCAACCTAGAACTAAGGAGAAACTTCCTGACACTGAGGACAATTAACCAGTGGAACAGCCTGCCTCCAGAAGCAGTAAATGCTCCAACACTGGAAGTTTTTAAGAAGAGACTGGACAGCCATTTGTCCGAAATGGTGTAGGGTTTCCTGCCTGAGCAGGGGGTTGGACTAGATGACCTCCAAGGTCCCTTCCAACTTTACTACTATATATATATATATATATATATATATATATATATATATATATATATATATATATATATATATTCTAATGACAAGGACTGTGTTTGTGGAGCATATTAAAAGCATGCTTAGCTTTGAATGCCATGTTTAGTGAAGGTAGGTAGATGGGTAGGTATGTAAGCAGGTAGAAAGGTAGCTAGATAGAGAGAGATAAATAGGTGGATGGATGGACAGCTAGATAGATAGAAGATGGACTGTGATTGGCAGACAGATGAATGTGTGTAGATAGATAGATAGATAGATAGATAGATAGATAGATAGATAGATAGATAGAGACATGGGTAGGTGAATGGATGGACAGCTAGATAGATAGAAGATAGATGGACTGATTGGCAGACAGATGAATGTGTATATATACATACATACATACATACATACATACATACATACATACATACACAGAAAGTTTTTTCAGACAGACCGGTCTGATTGATTGCACCTTGGCATTTTTGACTGCTATATTGCAGTTCTACTTTTTATAATCACTTTTGCCTTGCAGCCCCCTAACTAGGGCCGTTAAGCAGGCTCAAGCTGCTACTGCAATACATTACAAATTCAGGTTCGAATCCCATAAAGGGTGTGGCTAACTGATGAGGGCTAATGAGCCTGAAATATCTATACTAGTCTCTCACTTAATTCTTTAAATCTTTGTCAGCAAAAAGATACAGTGTATGTGTGTGTGTGTATGTATGTACGTATGTATGTATGTACGTACGTATGTATGTGTGTATATATATATATATATATATATATAGAGAGAGAGAGAGAGAGAGAGACAGACAGACAGACAGACAGACATGGGTAGGTAGGTAGGTAGGTAGGTAGGTAGGTAGGTAGGTAGATAGATAGATAGATAGATAGATAGATAGATAGATAGATAGATAGATAGACAGACAGACAGACAGTACGTGGACGGACGGATGGATGGATGGATAGAGAGGCAGAGAAATAGAAAATTAATATGAGGTAAAGGAGATACTTGTGCAAGAAATAACATTTCTTCTTTTTCCCTATGGATATGCAAACTGTATCCTGATTTTTTTAAAATTGCTCCGCAACCCTTTTGATTGAAAAACCAGGGTGAAATCTTCCAATAAAGGCCTTTTATAAAATGCCATACTTGGAAAAAAATGGGATTATAACTATAAGCCTTACTCTTCATTAACAGCTCCATTTCCTACTGGGAAAGCACCTGCTTTGGCTGTACATTTCACTGTGCTAAAATGTATACAACAGTAAATGTAGGCGTGTGCATAATGTTACAGTCCAGTATTAGTAATTTAAATATATCATAGATGCCCAATGCCCAGTTGTATTATTTCATACAATTGCCATATAAATAGTATAAACTTATATAGGATAAACGTATTGTATTTGTTGGGGGGGGGTATATTCCCTTTTAGGAGATTTTTAATTGCTAGCAGAGAATGCTTTTTGCATTGCCAAATTATGGTGTTGCATGAAGCAACGGACTCTAATCATAATATATTTTGGTTACCTAATTAGGCAGGACAATATGCTAATGATGGTGGGCTTAATCTTGACAAGAGTGAAGTGGGTGATATACATTTGTTTACTTGTTCTAAAGTCTAATATAAAAGCCTGAAACACCTTAATTTGGTGAAATAGTAACTGCAGCATTAGTGCTCAGGCTGTGGCCCCACCCTCAGCATTTTATTATAACAGAATGAAGTATTTTATTTCTATCAGATGCCTGACAATAACCTTTTTAATATGCCCAGCCTCCTACTGGGGCATCTAATACTTGCTTACATTTTTATCCCACTAAAATAAGAGAAGCAAAAGAAGCACAGGTCGTCCCGAACGTACGACCACAAATTGAGCCTGATTTTTCCCCCGTCGCTAAGTGAGACATTTGTTAAGTGAGTTTTGCCCCCTTTTGCGACCTTCCACGGTTGTTAAGTGAAGCTGGATTCCCCGTTGATTTTGTTTGCCGGAAGGTCGCAAAAGCGAATCGCACGAACCCGGGACATTAAAACCATCATAAATACGAGTCGGTTGTGAAGTTTTGATCGTGTGATCTTGGGGAATGCTGCAACAGTTGTCCTTGTGAAAAATCAACTGTAAGACACTTTTTTTCCCAGTGCTGTGGTCACTTTGAACGGTCACCAAATGAATGGTTGTAAATTGAGGACTAACCTCTGTGTGTAGGATTGCAAAATACAAAATTTTGACTTATTTGCCCTGTTCATAGAATTACGTTATATATCTGTTCAATTAGCATCAACCAAAGGAATGACATGTTGGAATTATTTCAGCTAGAAAGATCACAATACTGAGAGATATTTCTTAAAAACGGGGATTTCTTACGTTGTAACTTTAGGCATTAAAATTAAACAGAGAATAACCACGATTATTACCACTTAGTGAGGACTTAACCACGACAACTGTCATACTAAATGCACTGTAAATTGTATTGTGTTGCACCGGATTACAAGAAACAGAGAGAAAGGGAGGGAGGGAGGGAGGGAGGGAGGGAGAGAGAGAGAGAGAGAGAGAGAGAGAGAGAGAGAGAGAGATACACAGGTAGTCCTCGACTTATGGCCCCAATTGAGCCCAAATTTTTGTTGTTATGTGAGACATTTGTATATAAAATATAAAAATATATGCATTAGAGGTATTCCTTGACGTATAACCACATTTGAGCCTCACAATTTCTGTTGTTCAGCGAGACAGTTGTTAAGGAAGTTTTGCCCCCATTTTACGACCTTTCTTGCTTCAGTTGTTAAGTGAATCACTGCAGGGGATCAGTTAGTAACCCAGCTGCTAAGCGAATCTGCCTCCCCCATTGACTTTGCTTGTCAGAACGTCACAAACGGGATCACGTGACCCCAGGGGATACAGCAACCGTCACAAACGTGAACCAGTGGCCAAGCGTCTGAATTCTGATCACGCGACCACGGGTCGTAACGGCGAAAAACGGCCGTAAGTCGCTTTGTTTTTTTTCCCAGTGCCGTTGTAACTTCGAACGGTCGCTAAACTAACTGTGGTAAGTCGAGGACTACTATAGTAAGGGTGGGGAGAAAAGAAAGCGAGCCGTAATAAAACCCAGCCTATCTCGGCACGGAGAAGCTGCAGGGACGGGCGAAGGAGGGAACCTCGCAAAAATGGAAAAATGTCCACGTGCCAGCCGCTTTCGAGGGGAGATTAAACATCAAGTCGTATCAGGCAGAGCTTCAGTTAAACAAAAGCAGAGAAGATGTCAAGCCGGAGATCATTAAAATGAAATGTGTATTTCCTGGACTCTGCTCTGTTCTTTGGTGAGCGTTAAACAACGGCCAGGGTGCGCCAAAAGCCTCTGACCTTACCTGAATCGCCTCGCCTCAAGGGCCTTTCAGCCGAGTGCAACAGCTTGTCGTGAGTTCAGACATGGTGTCGCTGACAGGTTTTTGACAGGCGTGTTCGCCTCGGCAACGCCGAAATGATCTGCTCCCTGCCTGGTGGAAGATTTTAGTTTTCCTTCGGTTCCAGCACTTCAGCTGCGGGTTTCAGACCCATCGCCAACCCCCCCCCCCTTGTGACAACTCCAAAAGACTTAAATGGCCCAGTAAAATTCTACACAACAGATTGTGGTGTAGATACATTGGTTTTCCGTTTCCAAGTTACCGATGGGGAGAGCAGCACCTTTGTAAAACGGTTCATAAATCCGTATCCTTCGGGAGGGTGGGCACCATTTTTTTTATTTTTTATTTTATTTTTTTAAAAAAGAGAAAATTCCCTGAAGTTGCATAAAACATAAATGAAATGCCGTGGAACCAGCTTCAGGGGTCTACCCTGAGGTCGTCCCCCAGCAGTTTTAAATTGGATTTGAGAGTCTTTCTGCTCATTAGGCCGCAGGGACTGGTTTTAGAGCAGGAATCGACGTGGTAAATGTTAATATGGGTTCTGCCTTTGCCTTAAAAGCCACCATCCCAGGCATAGTTTCCGTAAACTTTGCTCCCTGTCAACAAGTGACCCAAGGAACACGTACCGAGATAATTAAATTAATTTGGAATCGCTTCTAGTGTCTCGGCTTTCCTTTTGCACAAATGCCCAGCTGTTTCTTCATTCGCTGCTTGCATGGTGCTGTGCTGTAATTCCACTCGTGGGAGGTGTTCAGGACTGGACCTTAGTGCGAAACCCTCGTGTTAACACTTCCGTTTGAACAGGCACTTCTCGCTAGGCTTTTGCACTCTCCATGGTGTAAAGCCTTGCTTAGGTCTCTATGCCGCTCCTCTTTTGAAGTCTGTAGTATGAGCACATCTTGCAAGTTGCTTGCGTTATTCAGATTCCTCCGTTGCCGTATTCTTTACATTGTCATTCACCAAGCCCAAATGACTCACGAAAACCTTTGGGGTGGGGGTGGGGAGGAATTAAAAATAGAGGTTTGAGTCTAATTTGAAGAAAATGATCGATCACAAACAAATATTATCTTCCATCGGTCCCAAACAATGTGAACCACGCGCAGAGTCTTTTTTTTTTAGGGGGGGGGGAGTTTGCAACCTTTAAGAAGATCAAAGCATTTCCAAATACGGTTTGTTCTCTCTCCCCCCACCACCACCACACACAAACACACATATCTCCCAGCTTGATCTTTTAAATTGGATGTATTTAAAGATGGCATTGGAAAGCAGAGGGTGGCGAGCAGCAAGGAGAGTGTCATCCTTTCTTAATCGGATTTGTAACAAGGGTGCGATGAGATGCAACGTTGTGCTCGTGCAAAAGACTCCGTTGCTTCAGAAAAAAATGTAACTAGCCTGTTTTGCACATTCCTTTTCAATCCCTTACCTGTGTATCGACTTGCGTGCATTTTTTCCCCCCAAACGTGCCTTCAGTAACAAAGCATTAAAGACCAGTGCACCAAGAATCGGAAGCTTATTTTTAAACCTATCCAGCAATTAAAAATTGGCCGTACGAACCACCTTGCAGAAAGGAGCAGCTATTTATGGAGGATTGGAATGGACGAGTGGTCGCCCAATAATTGGATGATAAAGCCCCCTTTTAACCACGCTAAGGGATGCCTAACAGCTTAGAACTCAAACCACACTCTCTCCAAAGAGCATTTTGGCAAAAAATAAATAAAAATAAAAAAGGCCCCAAACCCCCCACCTTGCATATTTTCTAACCTCTCCAAATGAAACCTGTAAAATTGACAATCGTGTCAAGCTCGCCGGTGGCGTCAGTCCAAGGGAAGCCCAAGGAGCGACAGCAGAAATTTAAGCTGAGCTTGAAACCTCTTCGCCAACCACTTCTCTCAGAATTGTAATAAGGAATGCACCTTACCTCCAGCCAGGGCTGAGTAAATTCCCAAAGACAGCTGAGCAGTTCCAGCTCGGTGGGATTCATGTCGGGGTGGCGGCTTTGTTTTGCGTTTGCACTTGTCAGCCGAGTACCAGACAGGGGAATCCAAAGCATCTTTTCCCCCAAAAAAATCCCTTGGCTATTGTTTCAGCCTTTCGGTTCGCGCACCCAGCCTGGAAAAGCCGTGTGTGTGCACACACACACACATACAGCCTGCTGCAGTCTCCCACTTCCTCCAAGAGAATCAATAAGCATCTGCAAATGCATAATGAAAGTCCTTTAACATCCTGAAAGCTTTTCGGTCTCCAGAGGCTCAGCCGTTGGGAAAAGAAGGGCAGGTTTGCTGTTTAGGAAGAAAAAAAAAAGAAGAATCAGAAAAGCTTCAATCGGGCAGCTTGTGTGGAATGACAATCACTGCGGACGGATGCAGTGCGCTCACTATATTTGATTGGTCCGGGGGATGTTGGGCTTAAAATCCGTGCAGCCTGCTGGAGATGGGAGTGAATTTTTATCTCTCCTCAGTTTCGGAGGGGGAATTCTCTTGAAAGGGCTTCCTAAAAAAACAAACAAACAAAAAAAACCCAACCCCAGTGATTGGTGTAGGATGCCTGGAGTCTGTTGAAATGTGGGGTTTAGCTCCGCGGCTTTGGACGGGATCCTGCCCTCCTTGGGCTGCACCAGCTGCAGCGAGACTTCCGTTTCCATAAGGGGAACAGGTGGAATATGCACCACTGTTGTGCATAAGAGATTTAAACAGCTGTGTGGCATCCGGCCTCGGTTTCTTTTGGCGACGGAAACCCATCGTCGTCTGCAGTTGGGAGGAGAACGGAGTTTTAGCAAGTCAGGCCCGCTTTGGTGCTTCCTCGGAACAAAAACTGCATCCAGTTTTGGTCACCACGCTGTAAAAAAAGATGTCGAGACTCTAGAAAGTGTGCAGAGAAGAGCAACAAAGATGATTAGGGGACTGGAGGCTAAAACATATATGGAACGGTTGCTAGAATTGGGTATGTCTAGTTTAATGAAGAGAAGGACAAGGGGGGACATGACAGCAGTGTTCCAATATCTCAGGGGTTGCCCCAAAGAAGAGGGAATCAAGCTATTTTCCAAAGCACCTGAAAGCAGGACAAGAAGCAACGGGTGGAAACTAACCAAAGAGAGAAGCAACATAGAACTAAGGAGAAACTTCCTGACAGTTAGAACAATTAACCAGTGGAACAACCTGCCTCCAGAAGCGGTGAATGCTCCAACACTGGAAATTTTTAAGAAGAGACTGGACAACCATTTGTCTGAAATGGTATAGGGTTTCCTGCCTGAGCAGGGGGTTGGACTAGATGACCTCCAAGGTCCCTTCCAACTTTATTATTATCATTATTAAAGTGTCTTCATCATTTAGAGGACAAAATTAAATTTGGTATGGAATGCTTATATGGTACTTACACTAAGGAAAGTTCGTTATTTTAATTAAGGCCGCCTCTAGTGGGTTCAGGGTGTCCACAAACTTTGGGTTGCATTGAGAAATAACGTGACTTTCCCCTGATTGTTCGGTAGGAGCCGTTGAATATTGTTTTTTTTTTATGCCTGGATGCCCTTTTCTGCCCGTGTCTTTCTTTCTATTCCTTTTCATTGTTTTGGCGGCCATTTGCTCATTTTCCTTATCAGCAAAATGCAGGTAATCCTTGACTTAACAACAGTTCGTTTAGTAACCGTTGGAAGTTAAACGAGACTGGGAAAAGTGACTTACGACCATTGTTGTTTTTTCACACTTACGACCGTTGTGGCATCCCCAGGGTCACGTGATCAAACTTCAGAGACTTGGCAACTGGCTTGATTGTACGATGGTTGCAGCATCCCCGGGGTCATTTGCGATGGTCTGAAAAGCGAAGTCAACGGGAAAAGCCAGATTTGCTTAACGACCCCGTGAACTAACTTGGCAACCGCGGCAATTCATTTAACAACCGTGGCAAGCAAAGTCAAACAATGGGCCTGAACTCACTGAACAAAGGTCTCGCTTATCAACAGAAATATAGTCGTAAGTGGAGGACGACCTGTATTTTCCTGGTTTTTCAACACAACCATCCTATGCTGCGCCACGTGTTGAGCGTATCACGTGAAGCGCCCTTCTGGATCTGTTCTTCGAAGCTGCGAGGTAGTTCCTGAAATGGCGCGTGGCCGTTTCGTGGTTCCAGCTGAGATCTTTCGGCCACCAACCCAGTTCTGCTGATACAGCCGGGCAAGCGTCGCACGGAATGATTTGCAGAGTTCCTAATTATCCACAAAGCGAGAAGTGGGATGTGCATTTAGGTCCCGGCTGAATCGGGATGTGCCGTTAGATCTCCGCGATGAATAATATTTGGCAATTGGCTGTTGAAGAATCCATTAATCTCAAACGATGCCTCGTTAATAGTTCCTCCTCGGCTGTCGGTTCCACTGTAATGAGCCCATTAGCAAAGCAGAAACGTGCGGTCTTTAACTGGGTGCTTCGGTGGAGGTGGACATATTATCCGGATACCGAGCAAGCGTCCTCTTTTATTGAAGCCAGAACTGCTAGAAAAACAGAAAAATTTGCAGGAGTTGCTTTGGTTACTAGTAGGAATCTGGGTACAATTCAACGGGCTGCTCACTAGCTCTAACACCCTTTCGGCCTCATGTCCTTGTATCTTAGACCAGTGGTTCTTAACCTGGGCGATATTGCCCCCCCAGGGGGCGATTTTATTTTTCAGGGGGGCGATGGACTGAAAAGGGGCGACGCGGGGGCGAAGGAACGAAAAGGTGGCGATATTGGGGTGATGAAGAGAGAAGTTTTGGGGACACTTTTGAGACTTTTTCGTACAGTGAATCGCTGTATATCTGTCGTACAAAAACATCAGATGATCGGTATTAGTGGATTGAATTGTGTTTTCAAATGTTCCTCCAGCTAGCTTCAGTACAGAACGCCTTACATATGTGAAGACGCATCGCTTATCTTCATGCGCGTTGCGCAGCAGCCTCTACCCATACAGTGGCACGCCATTGGCCAGAATATGGGAGATATGGGGAAAAGACTGGAAATAAATTATTTGCATCAATTTTAAAGAAAATTGATGCAAATAATTATTTGCATGACAATTTTGAAGAAAAAAACAAAAAAAGTGTTTGCATAAATTGAAGAATTATTTCCTATGTTGTGATTGAGAGGTTACGTTGGGGGAGGGGGGCGATGACAACTTCCTCATTGGCTCAAGGGGGCGATTCGTTCAAAAAGGTTAAGAACCACTGTCTTAGACCGCCATCTTTTCTGAGAAAAATCCACCCACCCTATAGATTCTATGGGGGACAAGTAGGCCTGTGACCCTTCTCCCTGAGAGGCATGGAGTCAGGGAAATTCAGGTAGCCCTCGACTTAACGGCCGCAACTTGAGCTCCCAATTTCTGTTTGCTAAGTGAGTTTTGCCCCCCCATTTTATGACCTTTCTTGACGCAGCCGTTAAGCGAATCACTGCAGTGGTTAAGTTAGTAAGACGGTCGCTAAGTTCAGTCTGGCTTCCCCGTTGATGTTTCTCGTCAGAAGGTCGCAAAAGGACACTGCAATCATCGTAAGTATGCGCCAGTTGCCGCGCGTCTGAATTTTAATCACATGACCATGGGGATGCTGTAACAGTTGTCAGTGTTGAAAAACGGTCCTAGGTCACTTTTTTCCAGCGTTGTCGTAACTTTGAACGGGCTGTTGTAAGTCGAGAAGTAGCTGCCTAGCTATTAAGATTATCCCTTGTCTATTTAACAATGTCTACACTATTGTTGTATTACATTGTATAATCTGGCCACAGGGCTCTGGATAGATGTATCCAGTGTTTTGGGTACCTGCCAGATGTGTCTGGCCCCATTAGCCAAAATAAGCTAGTGTGGTGTCCTGATTTATTTTTAGAAGTTAAATCAGAGTGGAACTTTGCAGTGGAAAACTATTAGGGACCAGCCCAAATGCGAAACCGTTTTCCTAATCATTTTATTAACTTACAAATACATCAAGTGTGTAGGTGGACACTGCAATTATCTATTTTATCAGATGTTTCAATATGAAACAGGAGATAAATCTTTTGGTCTTTTCCATTCTGCCCCTTGAAATTCACAGCCGAGATCCTTCACTTATTTGGTGATCGTGTTAACACGTTATCGGTTTTCCTGATAACACCTTCTGTTTACTTTTCAGTAAGCAGAATACCTGGGTGCTGTGCTGTGTTGTTATAATTGCACTCTTCCTCCAACTGTACACTGCAATTATAGATAGTCCTTGAGCTACGGCCACAATCGAGGTCAAAACTTATACTGCAAAGTGAAACATTTGTTAAGTGAGCTTTGCCCCATGTTACCAATTGTCTTGCCACCGTTGTTAAACGAATCGCTGTTAGTAACATGGTTTGTTAAGTGAATCTGGCTTCCCCATTGACGTTACTTCTCAGAAGGACGCAAAAAGCGATCATATAACGCAGTGGTTCTCAACCTGTGGGTCAGGACCCCATTTAGGGTCGAACGGCCATTTCACGGAGGTCACCAAACAACGCAGTCCGCCATTTTTTTCCCCTTTTCCTTAGCTGTGCTACTCCCTTTTATTCTATTGGCTTTTGAAAGCCAATAGAATAGACTCTCTTGAATAGAGTCTAATTCTACTGGCTTTCAAAAGCCAATAGGAATTGTCCAGGCTGTCTCTGCCCTGCTGAGCCCGCCAAAAGTCCCATTCTGCAAACGGTGCTGCACCAGTTGAGTAGTCCTCGACTTACGACGGGTTGAGTAGTCCTCGACTTACGACCGGTTGGGGGGGTCGCAGCATTAAAAAGATTGAGAACCACTGATATAACCCATAGGACAACGCAACGGTCATAAATACGAATCAGTTGCCCAGCGTCTGAATATTGATCCCGTGACCCTGGGGATGCTGCAAAAGTCATAAGTGTGAAAAACGGTCATAAGTCGCTTCTCCCCCCAGTGCTGTTGTAACTTTGAATGGTCCCTAAATGAACTGTTCGTAAGTCGAGGGACTATCTGTACTCTTTGGGTAATTTCAGTGAGTTGCAAATAGATGTATTGCTTTTGATCAACCTCTGAATGTGCTATGTTCAGAAGTTTTAAAGGAATATATTTACGTGTTTAAGCCCTTCTTCTAGTGCTTCCCGTTGACTTTGTTTCTCAAAATGCAAGCTTTGAACAACCTTGTCCAGGTTATATGATTTGTTTGTCCAGTTTGCTGTTGTTAGTTGCGAAGTTGTGTCTGACCCATCGCGACCCCATGGACCACGTTCCTCCAGGCCTTCCTGTCCTCTACCATCTTCTGGAGTCCATTGAAGCTCACGCCTCCTGCTTCAGGGACTCCATCCAGCCACCTCATTCTCTGTCGTCCCCTTCTTCTCTTGCCCTCCATCTTTCCCAGCATCAGGCTCTTCTCCAGGGAGTCCTTCCTTCTCATTAGGTGGCCAAAGTATTTTGAGTTTCAACTTCAGGATCTGGCCTTCTAAAGAACAGACAAGGTTGATCTCCTCCAGGACTGACCTTGGTTGCTAAACCGGAAATAGAGCATTGGGTCCATTTATGGACTGTGACATCATCACCTGGGGTTACCGCTAAGCTATTCCATTCTTGATCCTTTTGATATGTTCAACCAGCGTCTTCTCTTTCGGTCTTCCAAGAAAGATGGAAGACGGTCCCGAACAACATTTCAGGCGTTCACATGAGCTGAAAATATGCGGTTGGCCAAACAGTGAGGTTATCATTTATAATTTAATTCACCTCCTTGATATTGAGAAGTGGGTGTGGAATTGTGCATACCCCTGATGTGCAACATCATGTTTTTAATGCCCATGTTTGAATGTGGCTGAATTCGTTCTGCTTTTCCCTATT